TCCCTGCACCTTCAAATTCCAATAATAATAATAATAATAATAATAATAATAATAATAATAATAATAATTGTTTGTTATTCCAAAAAAAATAAATTATTTTTATTCCTTCTCTCCCTCATACTACATAATATATACAGGCAAGGCCCACTTTCTTGTTGTTTAGAGTAAGATCTTCCGTATTTGATCACACCACAAGATGTAGAATTCCCTGCACCTTCAAATTCCAAAAAAAAAAAAAAAAAAAAAGGATCTCCACTCAAGATGATTAAAAAATTGCCTTACAAGAACGTAAAAATTTATGAACTGTATTACATAGATAGTTTTTTCAAGTCAAACCAGATAATATATCTTGAACTGAAAACGTATTAGACGTATTATATATTTCTATCTTTTTCACTCATTTCAAAAGGTATGAACTATTTTTCATACCGACTGTGGATGGATCGTTGCCGGTTTGAAACTTGTATGAACTAAAATTCCATTTTGCACCACCCTGAGGTTACCAAAATCAAAATTAACACTGGTTCAAATTTGCCTCTTTTTTCTTTCTTTCTTTCTTTTTTTTTTTTTTTTTTAGAAAAATCATATATAGTTATAAATGATATAAATAGACACTGGTTCAAATTTAATTTCTTATTTATATTTTATACTACCAAACATTAGTTTGAACTGTATAAAACCAATATAAGATTAGAACTTTTAGTTCAAAATTTATAAAGTTTAAAACCATACAATTCGAACGCAAAGTAACAAACACTAAATGTAGAGGTTTTACTATGTGAATTGTGTTTAACGTATTCAAAATAGTATTTTTTTTTAATGGATTGCTCGTTCCTCTGGTTTCTTTTTTCCTTTAAAAATCATCAATTAAATAAAAGAAAAACATATAGATAAACTCAAATTTTCAATTAAATTTTACTAAATTCTATTTAGTTGTTATATATTTTTATTTAACTAGTGAGTGTGGCACGTGCTGACTAGTAACAATATTAATGTAAAAAATGATTATGTGAACATCAATTTTGAAAAAGTTAGGAGGAAGAAAAAGGCTGAATTTTATAGATGTAAAATAACGGTTAGGTTGTATAACTTCTTACATCCAGAAAAAAATTCTTACAGTTGATTTATTTTATGTTGTTTTTTAAACATGGGACTTTATGATTTTTTGGAAGAAAAATAAAATGTCAAAACTCGTTAAATATTTTTTAAATCTCAATTACATTATTCACTTTAAAATTAAAATATTTGAAGGACATGATAATCATAGTTCTCAAAAGAATATTATAGTGGAACATTCTCTTTTCAATTGCTAGAATTAGTTAGGTGTTAAAAATAATTTGTTTAAAATAGAGATATATAAGAAAAACAACTTCGATCAAAAAAATAAAAGATAGAAGAACGTTATAGGTAGGGGTGGCAATTCGTGTTACGTGTCGTGTTTTGATCGTTTTTTTTAAATTTTCAGTCAACCCGAACACGAAATTTTTTAAAAACCGCGACACGAACACGACACGACCACTTTACGAGCTGACACGACACGACCCGAAAATGACCCGTGACACGAAATTGACCCGTGAACCCGAAATTGACACGAAAATTGTATACTTTTATTTAGTTTTTTACATATTAGAAATAACTTAAAATTCATAACACACTAAATTACAATAACATCCATTGAAATTAAACAAATAATAGTATAAGATTTTGAGTATAACTATCATGATATCACAAGTTCATAATAAAATTTAAAATATGAAATGAAAAATATATGTATTTTTTAGTTTTTTACGAGTTTCGTGTCGTGTTCGGGTTAGGCGGGTCCAACCCGGAATTGACCCGTATTTTTTATGTCAATTTCAGGTCGACCAAATTCTGACCCGAACCTCTTTTTTCTCAACCCTAACCCGCAAAATTCGTGTCGTTTTCGAGTCGTGTCGTCGTGTCGTGACCCATATTGCCGGCCCTAGTTATAGGAGTAACAAAAAAAAAAAAGCAAAAAGGTGGCTTCACATGAGATGCAACTTAAAATGCTCTGATGATAAAGTTACATGTTTCAAAAAAATGGATCGAAATTTGAAATATTTGATGAGTTGACACTTGTTTAAGATATAAAATATTTTCTTATCATGAAAAGGTAATAAGAAATGAGAATAGGAGTTGTCATATTTTACTAAAAAATTATTACATTAAGAATTTATTTTTTGGGTTGTAATCGTAAATTTAGTTTATTAATTTGTAATATCTTAATAATGATACTTATATATCTATATTTAATATCTCAGTCATACGAAATAGAATTACTATTAACTAATTTTCATAGTAATTTATTATAATAAGAAAAGCATATACAATTGTGCAGAGTGTTTTTTTTTTCTTTTTTTTTTATTGTACACTTTTAATTAATGACTATTGAATTATCAATTGAGCAATTTTATTTACATAACCATTTAATTATTCTCTCTGTAATTTATTTTCTCTCTCATAATTCGTTATGTTTTATTCTTCTAAAACAATACATTACGAATTCATACTCCCATAAAAGTAGTCATCCAACATCCACTAATAATACTCACCTAAAAATAAAGAAGCACAAAATGAAAGGTAAACAAAAATAGCACAGACAAAGGAAAAGAAAAAAAAAATGCAGTTATGTTGATAATAAAAAGACAAACTATTAAAAGAATACACGAATATCAAAAAGAAAAGTATTGGTGTGTTTAAAATTCGTTTCAAAATGATTTTATTTTATATATGAAAATAAAAATTAAAACGTTTACATTTTCATTTTAGAATCATTTCTGAAAATACGTTTGGTAGTTTTATTCTGAGATTGTTTTCATTTAAAAAAAAAAACTAAAACTGCATTTGGTGGGTTAATTTTTAAAAACATGTAATAATATTTTAAATAATAATATCCGGGAGAACAAAAACCAATGCCACCTGAAGAAAAGTCACCACCCTCCGATTCGCCTCGGCCGACCACCTTTATCATTATTCCTCTGTGTCCAAATCCTCGCATAGAACACCCCAAAAACCACAATTCCCCCTGCGGCAACAACACTCTTTAGCACCACAATCTACCTGTGTTCTCATCAATGTAATCCTCCAAAATCTTGTTCAATTTCATGGCCATATTATGAAATATATAGCAAATACACTATGGAACAAATCAGAGATTAGCATACTCACCCCAAATCAGGAGATAAAGCGAGACGTAGAGCAGCTCATGGCGCTAGTCCGACGACGCCTCGCGGCGGTCAGGAGATCCAAATGTTGGACTTCTTCCCCAAATAGTAGCACCAATCGGTGTAGTTCTTCAACAGCTTCTTGCGGAAGTGGCAGAGGATGCCGCGTCGAGTGTATCGATGTTGTTTGGCGGCGGCGTGAGGCGCATTTGGGCGTTGGCAAGGCCGTTCCGCAGCGCCGCCGTCACGGCTCGAACCTCCGGGTACCGCAATGACGGGTGGTCTACGAGCAGGTTGTGCACCAAGATTATGTTGTACGGCTCCGACTCCGGGTCCCCCACCACCGCCGCCGGGCCCGGACGCGACGGTGGGGATGGTCGCTGGCGGAGGTTCATGAGAGGGTTGAATCGGAAGATGCAAATAGGAGAAGAATGAAACAAAAACGAAAACGGAGAAAACGATATTAAGTCATTTTCAGATTTTGAAAAAAAGACAAAAATATTTTTATTTTTAATTTTAATAAACTGTTGCATCAAACACGTTTTTTCTATCCGTTTTAATTTTTTATTATCAGAAAACGTAAAAAACGTTTTCAAAAACAAAAATAAACAGACACATTATTATCTCTGTAATTATTATCAAAAAATCAAAAAATAATTGTACACGCAGAGATACACGGAAATCAAAAAATCAAAAAACGCAATTATTTTCTCTGTTATTTAAAGAAGGACACTGATAACAAGAAGACAAATTGCACGCGGAGATATTGTAAGGTTTACAAAGGCATCCGCAGGCTTCATTAGGGGGGGGGAGGGACCCAAGTGTAAGCAAACTGGTCAATCGCCAGCTTCTTGTTTATGCAATCTTTTTATATATCTATAGACATAATTTGCCATTTTTAATGACCGATGGTGTAATACCAATTATTGTAAAACTTTGTTTTAATTTATTTATTTTTTCCTTAAAACATTATACTATGTATATGCCTAATGATAGAACATCTTTATTCACAGTGGCGGAGCCAGCTTTTTACTTCAATGGAAGTGTATAATAAATTTTTTTTAATAAATTATCTTAGTGGGAACATATAAGAAAATATATTTATTTTAGTGGGGACATATATTACTTCAGTGGACACTAAATTTAAAATTTTTAAAGGTAATATTTAAAAAAATAATAATTTAAATAGGAGTGATAATCCTCACTGAAGTGTACTTAAATCCGTCACTGTCACTGTTTGTTCAACCCCGTCGGATGAGGAGTGGGTTAAGCGAGGTTCTCTTACAATACATGTGGGTCTCACCCGGTGGGACACACCGAGTGAGCCCATACCCTACTAAAAAAACCCGACTCAACCCGATGGAGTTGAGCAGGTTTTTTCCATGCCTAATAAAGTGTAGCACACCTACTAGATAAAAGGACATTAATCCTACGTTCAATCTTGCTCAAGAGACGTTTCATAACTTCACTCATCATGTATACCCCCGCCAAAGCAAATTATTTTGAGCCATATTGAACTTAGATAAATTCCCTCTTATCTATGCATGCCTGCTACAATGCTGCCATTCCATTAAACCCTTTGCTGATCTCTTCTCTTTTTCAGTCATGACGAGAGAGATCAATGACAAACAAAAGGAATCATAACAAGCTAGAGAGGGAAAATTATATATATGTATATATATATATATATAAGATATTTGAAGTGGGGACGGTGCTGGCATAGAAAGAACTTTCCATGAACCCATCTCCAAAAGCTGCCAACTGGCACATGGAGCTGCCACGTAGCCCCCTCAGCTGTGGGCGTTTCACTTTGACGTGGCATGCACTGAATCCTTGGACCTAAATAAATACCCCCTTTGTGTTCCACCCCACTTTGTTCTCTCTTCTCATCACTACTATCCTTAACAAAAGCTTCTCCAGTTCTCATTTCCCGTCTCTCATTTTGCTTTGCCTTTGAAGGAACCCAAAAAAAAAAAAAAAAAAAAGCCCTCCTTTTTCCTTCCCCATATTTCTCTCTTTTCTTTTCGTTTCCTTTTTGTATTGGATAAAAACATATAGAGCTAGCAAGTAAGTTTTATCACCAACCTAATAATGCCAGGGGAAACTGCCAACGGGTCAGACATATTCGACGGTCCAGATCGTTCCAAAGATCATAATTTCGGCCCTCGAGATTTTCGTGGCTTGCCATCTTTGATGTCGTTTTGCTCTCCAATTACTCTCAAGGTACGCATAGAAAAACAACATTCCTCATTATTTCCCTACAGGCTACATCACTACTTTTCAAAACGCTTCCTAATTTAAGTGCTTTTATTGCTTTTTCACCAACAAATTTAATCAAAAAAGCAGCTTTGACTCATTTGGTAATAGTTACGCCGCAGTTCATAGACGTCACGTACCGTTTGAAACTCGAGACGAAACACAAACCGGGAGGGACCGTCATCAGCCGTCGGATATGCGGCAACGACCCTTCATCACAGCCGTCGGATCACCAGATTACCACCGAGAGAACCATCCTGCATGGGATCACAGGCATGGCGATCCCGGGAGAAATCCTGGCCATTCTGGGCCCATCAGGAAGCGGCAAATCAACGCTCCTCAATGCACTCGCCGGACGGCTTATCCAAGGACAGGGATGCACCGGAACAGTCCTCGCCAACAACAAAAGACTGTCCAAATCTGTACTAAGGAAAACCGGATTCGTCACCCAAGATGACGTACTCTTCCCACACTTAACCGTCCGCGAAACCCTAGTTTTCTGCTCCCTTCTTCGCCTCCCGAAAACCCTAACCAGAGCCGATAAGGTCTCCGTCGCCGAGTCGGTGATGTCGGAGCTGGGATTGGATAAGTGCCAGAACACCATAATCGGGAACACCTTCATACGTGGAGTCTCCGGCGGGGAGAGAAAGAGAGTGAGCATTGCTCACGAGCTGATAGTAAACCCTAGTTTGTTGATTCTGGACGAACCGACATCGGGGCTCGATTCGACGGCGGCGTACCGGCTGATGACGACGCTGGGGGCGCTGGCACAGAAGGGGAAGACGGTGGTGACGTCGATACACCAGCCGTCGAGTAGGGTCTACCAGATGTTTGATTCGGTTCTTGTGCTTTCGGAAGGGAAATGTTTGTATTATGGAAAAGGGGCCGACGCCATGCCGTATTTCGAGTCCGTCGGGTACTCGCCGTCTTTCCCCATGAATCCGGCGGACTTCCTGCTTGATCTCGCCAACGGTACGTAAGCTTTTTTCTCCCTTTTTTTCGTTTCCTTTTTGTTTTAAATTTATGAGTCGGTTTGATCGTTCTCTTTTTGTACTTGACTCGGATTATTGGATTTTGGTTGCCTTTTCCTTTGTTTGTTTGTTTGTCTGTTTGTATAATTCTGTTGGTGTTTTTTTTTTCCCCCCGTTCTGTTTTGGTTTTGATGATATCCATACATACATATACATGTATACATATATGTATGTATGTATATGTGTATACACAGTGGAAATGATATGATATAGTTACCGTGTCGTCGCAACATTAGTTGGTGTTTCCCTGCTGGAATAGTAGTACTGGGAATTATGGTGGAGAAGAATGGCCAAAATGTGCTGAAATATGGCTATAGGAGCTTGCTAGATAGAGCCACGTGGTCCAAAGAGAACGGTCGACGATACGTTATCCATTAAATATCGTATTCATAAGGTTAGATATTCAGAGAGTTAGGAAATGGTTATTATTTATTCATGAGCCCACTAGCTATCACTTCTCCATACTTGGTGTCTGCCATTCTTTTTGGTCATAGTTATTTTATTATTATTATTATTTGCGTTTTCTATGGGAGATTAGTCCTTAGATCATATTATATACCTAATATATGTCTCATGCGTTTGCTGCATTCATCATTCATCTGCGTGCCACAAAATATTAGCCTCAGCACCTAGTGCATTATTGATTAGCTATGACTCTCTCCTTCTCTTACTTTTCTCAAATAAACATATCAACAATGACATTCTCTCTTATATATGGCTACTTTTTGACATTCTCATTTTTTAATCCTATACTTACAGCCCCTATGTGTGTGTGTATATATATATATATATATCATATAAATTCCTATATGCTTCTCTGACGATTTCCAAATAACAAGATTTAATAAAGAAGACATCCAAAAAAAAAAAAGCTCTTGCTAAAACTGTAAGCACTAATTGCAGTGTGGTTGTTGAGTAGGACTTACTGACATTTAAGGTGGTGCCTAAACTCTGATGACTGAAAGACACATTAATATTATCATATTCGTACCTAATATAAACAGTTTTCCGTGAGATACTAATGCATCTTAGAATGTATATTATACTATAATGGATAAACAAACCTTGTCGTGTTAAATACTCTTGTTACTATTTTTTGCTATTTATTTTCTTTTTCTTTCCTTTTCCGCAAAAAGGAACTTTGGGACAGACTAAGAATAGATGCGCAGGGGCTGTGGTATTTAAATCGTGAGCGTTCTTCATTTATTTAGTTAAAAAGAAAAAAGAAAAAAGAAAACCCTAGTGCTATCCACGTGTCCTATCTCGCCATTTTAATTGACTTGTCTTTTCCCTGATTCCCTTATTTTCCTTTTAAAGCAAAACAAGATTTGACCCTCTTTTTCTCCTATTTTTCTTCTTCTGTCAATGTTGTTTTAGCTAAAAGTCATAAAATATAAGTCGCAGTGTCCCACACGTTCCTTTCCACCACCGCCTTTATATATTAATATTTGTCTTTCCTATTTATGTTACATCAGAAAAATAGGAATCGAAACTCGTAGCTTCGCAAAATTATATTCACACATATATATATATATATGTAGAGAGAGAGAGGGAGAGAGAGAGAGAGAGGGCAGGATGAAAATGATTCACTTCTAGTTACGGCGAGAACAGAAGATCCACTTTATCACGAAAGTAAAAATACTACTTATCTTCAATATTGTGTTGGAAATCAACATGGCAGCCGATATTTGGTGCCATCAAGAAGTAATATTTTCCAATGTAGAGTTATGGAGGTCAAACATGGGGCTAGTAGTCTAGTTGAGACGTTTAGAATTGTCTTTTCTCCTTCATAATTATATGCATATATATATATATAATATATGTTGGGCATGAAAATTTAGAAAATGAAAGCATAATGATATGGGAGTTGTGCAACGGATTCCAAATCATATCTATATCATATTTCTAGGAGAATTATCAGCAATATCTTATAAGATGGGCTTTGGACCGTCCGCATATATAATTGACATCTTGTGATGTGAGGTCCTCCATAGAACTTCATTAAATTGGAGATTGAAATGACCCATATTCATTGAGGTGTTATGGTAGCGACAGGTCATGTTTCTTCTCAGAAACAAGATATGGTCTTTATGATATTTATATATACATAACCAACGGTGTCCTATTTTTGTGTGTTTTATTTCTGGGTCAAATTTCTTACAAAATAATTATGTGATTTCTCATAAATATCTTATGGTAAAGTTGGCGGTGATGTAACACTAGGGAACAATAATTGTATGACCTTGCCATGATTATATATTGATGTTTAGTATTCAACGGCCGGGTTACATAAAATGTTTATACAACTAGTTCGGTTTTTAGATGTTTTATTAAGATATTAACAAAACATGTGAAAACCTAAATAATTGTATATATAATGAGAAATACATACATGAAACTGAGTAGATTGATGGGGGAATATATATCAGATGGCAAGTGTACAGCTGATTTAATGCACATAAAAAATAGCTAAAGTGCTCTCCCTTCGGAGGCTTTCTATGAGGGCAGAACATTTGCGACTATATAGAGCATAATTACATCGCAAATTTTAAGGCGTTTGCCTCTAAAGAAACTCTCTTTTTCTGTGATCTTTGAAACCACGATAATAAAAATAAAAATAATAATAATAATAAATGGATTTGATGTGGAGTAGCTGATGATGACGGCATTCATTGCGTGAGAACCCATCATGAATCTATTAGTGCTTAATGCATACACATGAATATGTTTTCAAAGGTGGTGCATGGCATATGCATAAAGCATCTCAAGCTGGCCCTTCGTAATTATTAGTGTCGTTTATAGATAACATCAAGATATGCATAGAGAATTCATATGTATACTTCATCTTCTGAGCTTTAGTTTTGAAATTTCCGTAAATTATGATAGGATTATTGTAACGATTTTACCAAATAAACCAAAGAAAATTACCCAATATAATACATACTTGAATTCATTATTGAACTCTTTTGATAATTTTCTGGCTCTTTTTTTTTTAAAAAAAAAACTTTAATTTGTGTTTCATTTTATTCTTTTGATGCATGCATCTTCTTGATGGTGAACTCTGACACACATTAGTAGTAGAATTAGGTAGTCTTGCGTTTCAATGCGGTATCCTTCATATAGTGACCTGGTCTTTGGATCATCAAAATTTGTTTAAAGTCTGTCTTGAAATCATTAATGTCTCATAATGGGAAACCATGTGAAGTGCTTTGAATATTTCTGATTCAAATTTTACGGTCGTAATGCTTTGTATAGTTTAAAAATCACCATCGCTTACCTCATCCCAAAAACAGCTAGCCGGCCGAAAAAGGTCCAAATTCCTATCTCTTGACTATTATATGTGTCCCAACCTTCATTTAGTACTAAAGTGTGGGAAATTTTTATGATCCTCCCGTTGAAATTATATTCTTTCGTGGGGGCAACTTCAAAAAGGTAGAAAAGCATTGAATAAAAAAGTATCTTTCTTCTTCTTTTTTATTTTTTTTTTAAATTTTTATATATCCATATATTATAAACATACATAGCTAGGCTGTCCCCATACGTGTATATCCATAAGCTATTTTTGACTATTCTCGAATCATTGTTCTGGCCACAGTATTTAAAGTTTCACATAGTTTTCTCCTTCCGTTTTCAAGTGCATATCCATAAGCTATTTTTTTAAGCGCAAAAAGGGGAAAAAAAAAATGGTCATCATAATCATAAACTTAAGAAATGTTGTAAAGAGAGAAACACGTGTCGGGTTGCTTTTGCGCCTCGAGCATTTTATCAACAAAGTGAAACTTTTGTTGGTTTGAAAATTCAAAGGGAAAAAAAGAAAAAAAAGAAGTTCAGAATTCTTATGGAGAAACAAAAGTGGTGGCCCAACCTTTTAGTGGCATAATATTGCAGCACCAACATCAGTGGACTCCCACCTTAATAGCACCAACACTGGTCAGCTTTTGTTAAAACTTGTTTAATCAAAAAGATGTCGTCCTTACTATTATTATGTTTACACATGGTATTGATGTTTTACACCTTTAATTAAATTAAAAGGTAATTAAATAATTATTCCCTATTCATAGTGCATTGCATTTCTTACCCTATTAGTCCCTATTTTGTATTATTTTATTAGTAAAAAGATTTGAATGTTCTATTCGGTGGACCAATAGGGTCATTCCACCATGTCTATATAGTCAATTTGTGTTCTCTTTTGTTGGAATGATCAGTTTTGTCTATAGCCACGTTCCATATCTATTGCTTAGATAATACTACTCATAAATAGAACTAGGAATCTCTTTTTTTTTTTTTTTTTTTTCATGAAAGAGGTATTAAAAATAAAAAAGAAAAAAAAAACTAGGAAACGAACTGAAAAGATAAAAGTCCCGGCGAATATTTATTTTCCAATCTTTTTCTATATATTACTCTTCCTTTCGATGCTATTGAACTAAAAATATTAATTCAACAAAAGCTCCTTTGGTTTGAATTAATTATTACTCATATACACACACATATTCTCGAATATATTCTGAAACTCTTGGGGTCTCCAATGGGTTAGTACAAAAGAATATAAGGTATACATAGCTAGAAAGTATATTTCATTACAAGATTGCGTATATGTATAGATATATACACATGTAGTGGCTGTACTAGGAACTTTTTAGTTCGGCATAATAAGAAAAAGAAAAAGTAATAAAAATTAATAAAATTCCTTGTTATTAAGTTGGAGCAGTACAATAAATATAATTCTTTATTAAATTGAGGGCACAATTGTGATTTTCTAAATTAACCAGGGGGAGCAATTAAGTTCCTTTCAAATGATACGTACATGTAGTAATAAAATTTTGTATATCAGGTGCTCAACTGAAGTAAAAATGCTCGGTTTACTCTATTTTTGTATAGTGCATAGTATTTAAAAACTCCATATGATGGAAATATCAGTAGTGTATACACACATATACACATATACATACATATATATATATATATATATAGCATTAAATTCTTATAATTTACGTGGAATTAATGTTAGTTTCAAAGAGTAATTAACCATGATATCCTTGGACTTGTGCAGGTGTCTTCCAACATGATGGTTTAAGCGAAAGAGATAAGCCTAACACCAAGCAAAACCTAGTTTCCTGCTACAACACCTTGTTAGCTCCAAAGATTAAAGCCGCTTGTACGGAAAGTACTGCTAATACTAATTCTACCAAAGAAGCATCTTTGAGCGATAACCAATCTTCCAAAGATAAACTAGCAAGTAGTACTACAAGTTGCTGTAGAATCGGCTTTTCGACTTGGTTCAACCATTTCATCATTTTGATGCAAAGAAGCCTCAAAGAACGAAAGCACGAAGCCTTCAACACCCTAAGAGTTTTCCAAGTAATCACCGCCGCGATTTTGTCCGGCCTAATGTGGTGGCACTCCGACTTCGTCAACATCCAAGACCGCCTCGGCCTCCTCTTCTTCATCACCATCTTTTGGGGCGTCCTCCCATCTTTCAACTCCGTTTTCGCCTTCCCTCAAGAGCGCGCAATCCTAATGAAGGAGCAGGCTTCCGGCATGTACACCCTTTCATCGTATTTCATGGCGCGAATCGTCGGTGACATGCCGATGGAGCTCGTCCTCCCCACAATCTTCCTCATCGTCGCCTACTGGATGGCCGGGTTGAAACCCGAATTCGGTGCTTTCCTCTTGACCTTGTTGGTGCTTCTCGCATATGTCTTAGTTTCTCAAGGACTTGGCCTTGCTTTAGGAGCTGCAATCATGGATGCCAAACAGGCTTCAACCCTAGTAACGGTCACAATGCTGGCCTTCGTCTTGACCGGCGGATTTTACGTGCACAAAGTGCCGTTTTGTCTGTCATGGATCAAGTACGTTTCAACCACTTTTTACACTTACAGGCTTCTGATTAACGTCCAATATGGGGAAGGAGAAAAGATCTCGGCTTTACTCGGTTGCTCTCGCCGCCATGGAAGCGAAGATCATTACAATAAAGCGAGTTGCAAATTCATTGACGAAGATGTTGCAGGACAGATTAGTCCTATGGTCAGTATCTGTGTCATGTTGTTTATGTTTGTTGGGTACAGGTTATTGGCCTACCTTGCTTTGAGGCGAATTAAAGTCTAATTTGATCACACATAATTTGGATAATTAGAGTTAGGTTCTGATCATGAAGATCTTGTTCTACACGAGAACAACTTCTCGCAATTGTAAGTGTTCCAAAATGGAGTTCAAAAGGATGAAGAAAAGGATATATATATGCATTTCTTTACGCTCATTTCCGTTCCATTGGTGGATCCCGGGATTTTCAAAATGACTACGGAAATGGGAGACTGTGATGGCACCAATAATCTCCTTTTAACGCGTATATAGAGAGCAAATGATATATTTGCTTTGACACTAGCATTATGAGTTCTTTTCTTGATATTGAAATGCAACAAATATTGTTTTTTGGGATAAAATCTACATGAGCGTCCCAATTTTAGGATCCACTTCTTTTGTAATGGTCGTGGTTGATCTTGGTGAGACGAATAGCGTATCTATTAAGTGAGATTTTGAGATAAATGCGAAAAATCAAATCTACATACATCGACTTTTATGATGGCGGCAAGTTTAGAATACTTAAAAAAATAACACTGATAATATCATACTCGAATACCGATAGTAAACCACCGCTAACCGTCCTTGTTGAAGGTATTCTACCATGTTATTAATGGTAACCTATCATGACATGAAGTATAGTTCATTGTGATACTAGAAATATATAGTTACCCTATCGTGCCAGCAACGCTAGTTTACGATGCTGGTAGTGTGGTTTCTTATCGGGCGTGTTTAGTCCTCCGAGGCTCCGATTTCCTCGCATCCTATAAAAGTGAGTAGCGTAACATGACACAGTTTTTTCAACATGATACGATACTAATATTGAAAAAATCTATCCCAAATTATTGCTCTACAGCAGCAGCAATATCTAGAATATCCTGCGCCAAAAGAAAGCGAAAAGTCCACGCTGTTGCCCTCAAAGGGAATTAGCACCACGGGCCATCCGTGGCAATACATCCGTCGTTAGCTTTCATCAAATTCAGACAAATATATGCACCTTTTGCAGCCATGAACACCTTGAGAATGCTAGAGCTCTTGTAGAATTTATCACCGGATAACCAATTAAGGTTGGCCTTATTGTCACAATCAATATATATATATATATATATGCTTATCCTATCATGTGTCTGATTACGAAAGTTTTAAATGTGTATTTTTATGTTTTTGTCCCTCTGAGCGGTAAGGATTATTGAAGCCGGAGTTACTCCCCTCAAATTATAGCTCGTCCAATTCCAAACCTTCATAGGAATGGAATGAACTTGCAGGGCTTTGCAGAGCTTCTCTTCTCCTAATTTGAAAGTACCCCGGAATGATGCTAGTTACAAATATGGTTTTTTTTTTTTTTTTTTTTTTTTTTTTTTTTTTTTTTTTTTTTTATAAACTACCGATCAGACTAAAAATAATTTCTTGGACGGTTTAGGTTTAAAACTTAAAAAGTTTTCAATATTTCACAAAATTATACTATTGTTCATCAATAAAAATAAAAAATAATATTCATAGTTTTTGCAATTTAATTAAAAATAACAAATGTCTAAAAATTCATCATCATCCAAAGTTTTTATACAAACCAAAAACCGAATTAAAAAGTTACGATTACATAAACCAAAGTTCACGAACCAAAGTTTGTTCATTTCTAGGGTTTCAATCTTTTAGCACACAAGAGGCTAGGTTTCATTCTTTTAGTGTTATTAATCGATTAAAGGGTTCAAAAAAAAAAGATTATTGGAGTAGTGTGCAGAGTTTTATGTTTAATTATTGAACGTGGTAAGGTGCATTTTATTAGTTTGGAACCTTTTTTATGACCAACAGAAAAATAACATACCGAGAAAAATATTTTGAAAAAAAAAAATTACATTTGTGCAATTTTAGGTGGTCTTGGCAGTCCAAATTACTAGCCAAACCACCTAAACTACCTAATAATCTAAAATTAATCAGCGATTAATTTGGTTGAGTTTGGATTATGCAATATTCGCGGTTTACAGTTTTTTTTTTTTTTTTTTTTTTTTTTTTTTTTTTTTTTTTTTTGGAAACCCCTAATTACGGAACTCATCACTACTGAAAGCATTCCATTCAGTTCCTATGTCTGTCATTGATCAAGAATCCTGTTTGATAGCTTGAATATTCCTTTCTAATCTTTTTTTTAAATAAATTTAAAAAAACTTAAGACTTCTTGCTTTTATGAGAAGAAATAATGTTCCTCTCAGTCCGCAGGCGACTTAGAAAACATGACGAAAGAAGAAGAAAGCTTCGAAGCATGCAGTGAAATTAACATCAAGGAAATAACAGACTTTAATTACATCTTTCCACGAAATTATAAACAAAAACAAAAAGCAGTACTTAACGACTATAAGAAAATACAAGCTACACTTGAAAGTAACCTGGCAGCACATTATTAACCAGCAAAAAAGATTGCATTAATTTTGTAAAGAATCAAAAAATGGCAATGGGGTTGTTTAGCTAAAAATTAAAGCAACAAAATATAATCAAATAATGGAGTTGGTGAGCTTCATTATTGCTAAGAAAGTGGTCAAGGCCACAAGCAGACACAAAGGTCGTGTTTGAAATTGATTCCATTTTTATTTTTCACATTTTTTGAGAAAGAAAAAATGAAACGTTTTCAAAACGGCGTTTGATGCAATAAAGACAAAAATTGAGAGAGAAAAAGAGACATTAATGGGTATTTTTACACTGAAAATAATCTCTTGATAAAACTACTAAATGCATTTTCAAAAATAATTTATGTCTGAGATTAAAAACGTTTTCATTTTCATTTGCATACAAAAAATAAAATTATTTTGGAACGAGTTCCAAACGCACCTAAAACTTCTTCTGTCTATACATATGTTACATTTTTTTTTGAATGCTACACACGTTACATTTATTTAAGCCCCCCACATGAAATAAACGTGTCATTATTAATTAATGGAATTTTGTTTTTCTCTCAAAGGGAAAACCTTATATTACTTACACAATAACAACTACTATATTGAAAAAAAAAAAAAAAATTGTTCACGTTCAGGACGCACTCATTAAAACAGAAACAACAAAATTTAAAATATATAGTTAATTATATGCATACATGAACAAGCAAGGTACAAGAAAACATTTAAATCCATTTCAGAGGCAAAAAAAAAAAAAAAAAAGATATCAATGGAGAGACATATATGGTGCAATATAATAATTAGAAGGCAATGTTTTTTTTTTTGAACTACTCATGCATATCAAGGAAATGAACAGAAAATTAAAAAATAAATTTAAAAAAAAAAAAAACAAATGGACATGAGATTCATATGTTTTTTTTTTAAGGTAACTCATGGTTTTCTTGTCTTTGACTAAATTATTATTATTATTATTACTAATTACTATTTTATTTTTTTCGATTTCTCTCCTCTTATATATATGAATCTCTGTTTTAAAGATTGTTGGGATTGATTTTGAAAAAAAAAAATTAAAATCTAGAGAATTAAGCCGATTTTTGTACAAAATTAAGAGTAAAATAACTCTATTTCATAGAGTTATCAACCATACAACAGACAAGTAACTCTTTTCCCGGATCTGTTCTTGCTGGGTTTACTTATTATGTTTCTTATTAGTTTCTTCAATTTGTCCTATTTGATTGCTTGTTAACCTTCTTTCAATTCCTTTTCAGTCGTTTTAAGAGTTGCCATATAATTTAATTGATGCATATGCTTCTAGACTCTGCGATATGCAGACTTTTTTTGTGTGGTTTTTCAACATTGTATATATATACACATACATATATATACATCTTGAATGAAATATGATGAAGACTAATTGTATATATATACACATACATAGACATACATATATATACAAAAAGTGGTATTATATACCTAATTTATACTGTAAATGCTTCTTTGAGTTTGCTTTAATGACCTCAATTTTGGGCTTATTATTAACCTTTCAATGTGATATCAGGGATATACATTGGGGAGGGAAAGGTGATCCTTTTCACTCGAGGATCCTCAAGCCAGGAAATCAACACCACAGGATGTGTACCTTTTGACTACCATATGTCACCTTTAGCTCTGATTGAAAAGCTTAAGACTTAGTTCACTTCGCGGATTTGAGTTTTTAATTCGAACTGAAATGTGACATATTCTGAGAGCTTTTAACTGTAGCAGAAAAAGTTAGATGTGACATATTTAAGAGCTTTTAACTGTAGAAATTTAGAACTGAAAACTCAAATCGGTGAAATGAACGAGAACTAAGTTGGTGATAGTTCTATGTCCATTTTCTATATTAAGATCTTAAGTTGAGAATTTTTAAATTACTATAATCTAAAATAATAGAACAATTTGATCTCTGAGCAACCTTTAAACCTTTTAACGAGAGTGAGTCTGTAGAATATTAATTCTATGGAGTTATTATTCGAATACATCACTTTAATAAAAAAGTTTAAAAAATATCATTCTCAGGAGGAAAAAAAAAGAATATTTACTCTATGATTTCATCTCTTTTATATTCTATTTTTGTCTCTCTCTTCCCGCTGTTGCATAACTCTTGTCTTGCCGCAATGTGAAGTCACCGGATATCCCTTTCTTTGCAACATTGACGTTCCATCGAGCCACCATTCCACCGCAACGTCACCGGTTCTCCCCTTCCCTGGTGTTGCCACCACCGATTCTCCATGTCGCCACCACGAATTTAAATGGGATGTCCATGTCATCGCTGCATCTATACTATATCCTAGCCTTGAATCTCCCCTGTACAAGGTTCTTTATGCCCCAATTTCGTTGTTAAACACTGATTTACTTAAAATAGTCACTAAGCAACAAATTGGTTGTTTATTCTATTTTGTATTACTTTTTACTTTTGATATTGTTAATTTGAATTTATAATTTGTAGTTTGGAAGCTATGATATTATGTAAACTGCAGGCTTTATGGTCTTGACGTAAAATGTAAGAGATAAAAAAGAAACAGTAAACTAGAAATATAATCACAGTAAACCACTAGCATACCAATTAGCTATAAGGGTAATATGGACATTATAATTCAAAAAATTAAAACGTGCTTCAACTCAATAACATCCACTCTAACGTCGCATGGAGCCTAATTTGGGTGAGTATGTGGAATACTATTCTATTGAGTTGTATTCAAATGTATCGTTTTTGTGGGAAAGTTTGTAAAATACTATTCTAAGGTAATAAAAAGACAACTTTGTGGCAATGTTCTCCACTTTGATGACTATTATTGTCTTGAATTGGAGATGAGAAGGTACATTTGATGAAAAATACTAACATCCTAAATTTCACCAAATCTTTTAAATTTCTCAATTCCTTAAATGTAACAAAATATCAAAGCAAGATTGGTAAACTGGGGCATACTACGACAATTTTCTAAATTTATGGGATAAATTTATAAAATTAAAAGCTTAGTGAGCAAGTTGCTAAAACTCTACTAGTCCAGGGAGCAAGAGTGCAAAATACCCTTGCAAAGATTATAAACTTTGCAGCCAAATTGCAATTTCATAAAAATTAAGGACTAAAAAGAAAATTTGTGATTTAAATATCTTTAAAATTATATTTTTGCCTGTCAAGTTTAAAAAGATTATAGTTTGACGCCAACTTTTCAAAAGAATTTGCAAAAAGGCATTTGCTGGTCACTTCTGCCTTTTCCTTCGTGAGTTGTTTTCTTTAAATTTTAACAAAACGATCCCAAACTCTCAAGCACTGGCAATTAAGCCATTTCTATCCATTTTTATTAGATTTCTCATAGAATTTTGCACGTGATACCATCACGTATAAATGAAAAGACATGAATGCTTTTAAACTTCACATTAAAAAAAAAGAAAAAGAAAAGAAAAAATCAAACAAGAACCGGCCATGGAAGCTTTGTGAAGTCCAACGAAAACCACCACCCCTACCTTCTGTCCTCCCCCCCTTTCTAGCGAAACCAACCACTCCACATCCCTTTTCCCTCTCTCTTGAGTAACCCATTCGGCGACTCACCCCATCCCTAATGGCGACCCCACAAGCCCATTCCCCCTTGATTTCGCCCTCTATTGCACAAGCCTAGATCTTATAGATGTAAAGTTATCCCTACCGGACAAGCCCAAATCTCAGTGACACAAAGCCTTCTTACCGTAGCTCCGCAAGGGGCACTTAACGCCCTTCCATTGCGATCCCAAAAAATCGCTATTTAAGGCCCATTTATTTCACATATTTGAATTTAAAAATTGAGTTTTGTTACAGTAAAAAGTTCTTAAAAACAGTCACATTTAATTTTTTTATTACATAAAAATCTCTCACATAAAGTTACATATTAACTCAAATTAAAAACTTAAATCAATGAATTAAACGTACCCTAAATTTGTTACGTCCCTCCCTTGCCACGCTTGAGCGAAGCCATCCCTAGTTCTCACCCCTCTCTTTCACTCTCTTTTTGAAGTTTACAAATCTTTTATTTTTAGATTTTTTTTAATTCTGAGTTTTTGTTAAACTATAAATTCTTGTTATTTTATTAATACACCCTCTTATACTGGAGCACATGCTTTGTTCGTGAAAAAAATAACAAGTAGAATAGAAAGAAAGAGTTTTAATTGTTAATATTTTTGGGATTTTTTTTTAAAATATACTCAAAATATGATTCTTAATTTTAATATTTAAAATTTATTTTTTATGAAAGAAAAATATAAAATTAATAATATAAATTTAAATATATAAAACAAACTTGAGGATTTATTTATCAAAATAAAAAAAGAGACCAAAATGTCGTATACTTGGATGCAAATTTCGAGTAAAAAGGAACCGCAAATTCCTCAAAAAAAAAAAAAAAGGAAATTTGGATTAGCGACCGAATAATAATCAACGACCATCTTAAAACGCAAAAGAAACATCTATCGGAATTACCTCCCACTCCATTTCAGATCTATTAAGAAAAATCCCCAAAAACTTTTGATTACAACTCAAGTAATTTAGAAAAGTCACAGAGCCTAGAGAGAGATAGGGAGAGAGAGAAGAGAGAGAGAGATAGAGAGAGAGAGAAGAGAGAGAAGAGAGAGAGAGATAGAGAGAGAGAGAAGAGAGAGAGAGAGAGAAAGAATGTCGAGCGACAGTGACGACATTGACGAGGACGAGCTCCTTCAGATGGCTCTCAAGGAGCAAGCCCAGCGAGATCTCAATTACCAGAAGCCGTCTTCTCTCAACTCTCGCAAGCCCGTCGCCAACTACGTTCAGCCGCCGCCGCAGCCGCCGCCGTCGAAGAACTCGCCGATGCCGAAGGCAGGAGCTCAGGCGAGGCGACCGGTAGACGATGACGACGATTCCGAGGTCGAGATGCTCAGCATTTCCAGCGGCGACGACGAGTCCACCGAGAGAGATCACCTCCGTACCGGCGCCGTCGCCTCCAGGGACCGCCCCGGTGCCGGCAGAGCCGCCAGGAGGGACGATGATGGCGGCTGGGACGGCGACGAGCCCGATTGTTGGAAGCGCGTCGATGAGGCTGAGGTATTATTGTTATTAATTTTTTTTGCAGTTCCGATTCCGTTATTTGTTTTCTCTAATGGAGAATGAAGAAAAGTTATCTCGTTTACTTGTAAAGATTTTTTGGACAGGAATTGTGAAATTCATTTGAATTGAGAAGTGTTGGTGTGGTGGTGGCTAGATTGTAGTTTAGAATTAGTAGTGAATTGGAGCTGATAAACAATCAACTATTGCTTATAAAAGTAAGATTGCTGATGATAATTTGTGTTGACGGTGAAATTTCGTCAACAGAAATACGCTGACTCACCCTTTGGTATCCGTGGGGTTACCGGTTAAAAATTAACTGTATATTTAAAATTATATTATGAAGTGTTTGTTATATTTTTGAAAGCATGAGAATAATGCTTGAATGAGAGGACAACCGAAATTTATAGTGATTCACTCTATTAAGGAAGAGCTACATCCACTTGTGTATTGTATTTCCTTTGGGCTCTTTTTGGATTACATAGAATCAGCTTTCTATTCTCTGATTACATATGAAAAATAACCAAAAATTCTCTCCTCTATAATTCGGGGCCTTGCCTCATTTATAGCCTAGAGATTACTTCATGGGTGGTTTTTCTTGGTAGGCTCATCCACTTGAGTGACCTACTAGCCTATGAGCTCAGACCCATAGCCTGTCACCGCATTTTTCATTGTTCACTCATCCAATTTGTCCCCTATTGCGGCTTTGTACATCCCTCTTTAATCATCCACCGTCCATTAAAGGGTAGTTTATGGGCTTATAATTAATGCCTGCATTACTGACATTTTTCAAACCCAGACGTAACTCCTTTGTCCACTCAGGGGCCTTTCTGGAGATGTGGACCCATATTTATACGGTCGGCTTCCTATGAGGTCTCTCCTCCTTGGAAGGGTCGGCCGTCTGGAGGCCTCTCCTCCTTGGAAGGGTCGGCCGTCTGGAGGCCTCTCCTCCTTGGAAGGGTCGGTCGTCTAAATGCCTCTCCTCATTGGAAGGGTCGGCCTCATGGATGCCCCTTGGGGCTCTTAGCAGGTTTAAGAACCTTTTTCATGAAGGCCTCTTCTCCTTGGAGGGGTCGGTCTCTTGGATGCCCCTTGGGGTTCTTGGCAGGTTTAAGAACCTTTTTTATAGAGGTCTCTCTTCCTTGGAGGGGTCGGCATCGTGGATGCCCCTTGGGGCTCTTAGCTGGATGCCCCTTGGGGCTCTTGGCAGGTTTAAGAACCTTCTTTATGGAGACCTCTCCTCCTTGTAGGGGTCGGCCTTGTGGATGGATGCCCCTTGGGGCTCTTCCCAGGTTTATGAACCTTCTTTATGGAGGCCTCCCCTCCTTGGAGGGGTCGGCCTCGTGGATGTCCCTTGTAGCTCTTGGCAGATTTAAGAACCTTCTTCATGGAGGCATTCCCTACTTGGAGGAGTCGGTCTCGTGGATACCCCTTGGGGCTCTTGACAGGTTTAAGAACTTTCTTCATGGAGGCCTCTACTCCTTGGAGGGGTTGGCCTCGTGAATGCCCCTTGAGGCTCTTGGCATGTTTAAGAACCTTTTTCATGAAGGCCTCTCCTCCTTGGAGGAGTCGGCCTCATGGATGCAGGTTTAACAACCTTCTTCATGGAGGCCTCTCCTCCTTAGAGGGGGCGGCCTCATGGATGCCCCTTGGGGCTCTTGGCAGGTTTAAGAACCTTTTTTATGGAGGCCTCTCATCCTTGGAGGGGTCGGCCTCATGGATGCTCTTTGGGGCTCTTGGCAGGTTTAAGAACCTTTTTCAAGAAGGCCTCTCTTCCTTGGAGGGGTCGGCCTCATGGAAGTTTAAGAACCTTTTTTATGGAGGCCTCTCCTCCTTGGAGGGGGCGGCCTCATGGATGCCTCTTGGGGCTCTTAACAGGTTTAAAAACCTTATTTATGGATGCCTCTCCTCCTTGGAGGGGTAGGTCTCATGGATACCCCTTGGGGCTCTTAACAGGTTTAAAAACCTTCATTATGGAGGCCTCTCGTCCTTGGATGGGTCGGCCTCGTGGATGCCTGTTAGGATCCTGAAAATCTATGCTTCATTAACAATACTAGAAATAGAAAATTACAAGATAGATGAGCAGTTTCGAGGACCCCCGACCTCCAAAATAGTGCACAGAACTAGACACTCTCTACAAATCTGATTCCCCTCTCACTAACAATTAAACCCCCTATTTATACTCCCTTTAAGACTATTGAAAAAGATTTCTAAATATTAGGTTCCTAACATTACCCCCGCCCCAAAGAATTATCTTGTCCTCAAGGTGAAAATCAAGAAATAAAATTAAAAAATAACATCTAAATGATTAAGAACAAAAGGTTTTGTTAGTTCCTTGATTGAAGTCCCCAAACTGATGTTGTCCTCGTAAGTCATGTCTTCAAATTGGAGCCAATCAATTACTTTCTTCTCCATCTTCTTTGTATCTTGGAAAGCAACCACAACGTCTATCAATTCATTTGAAACTCTCTGCACAAGCTCATCAATGGTCACACAAAATATTGGCAAATCAATCCTCACTAAGGGAGTTTCCTTCTTAGCCAACCAAGACATCAACCTTTCAACTTCAATCTCACCAATTTCTTCATACTCAGCTGCAATCGTACCATTCCCAGCCCCAAACGTGTTAAAGTTTTGAGGCCTGATTGCCCTTGCACCAGAATTAGGCCAACTAATATTGTAATTACGAGGCTCAACCCCAAAATTGACTCTGCCCATACCGAAAACACTAGACCCAGCCCATACCGAAAACACTAGACCCAGCCCAATTCTGAACAGAATTTCGGGATTCAGCCCCAAAATTGTCGGATTTCTCATCGGAATTCCACGTCCTGGCCATCATCTCGCCGGAGCTAGCCCCAATGGCGTCAAAATCACAAAACCCAGCATTAAAGGCGTCGGAATTCATGGGTCCCACTCCAATTCTGCCAGAATCTGCCTCTGTGCACCGGAACCAGCCCCATTCACGCCGGAATTGCGAAGCCAGTCCAAACCGGGCCGGAGTCAGCCCCAACCTCGTCGGAAACACCCTCAACAGCGTCAGAATCATGAGACCTGTTCCAAATTTGGCTGGAATTTTCGAAAACAACCCCAATCTCCCGGGGACCAGCCGTAATCGAGTCGGAATTGCGAGACTCCACTACAATTCCGCCGGAATCTGCCTCTGTAGCACCGGAATCAACCCCTTTCATGCCGGAATCGTGAGCCCTATCCAAATAGCAGCCAAATCGTCGAGTCCAGCCTCCGTTGCGCCGGAATCTATCTCCGTAGCACCGGAACCAGTCCCTTTCACGCCGGAATCGCGAGGCCCGGTCCAAAACGGTCCGGAATCAGCCCCAACCGCGACCGAATCAGGGCTGGGTTCCCTGTTCTGAGGGTACCCATGCCGTCCCAGCCTCAGAGCAAGCCTCTCCTGCTCTAACTCTGGCTCCCACTCCAGTTCCCGTTGCCGACCAAGCTCTGCCGCCCTTTCACGATGGTCGCGACGTCCTTCTGCCCCTCTCCCGTCGTTGAACAAACCCTCGCGCTGCAGATCCGGACCTCCTAGCCCCAGATCGCGACGGATCTCGTGCTCCTCCATGAGACCCACGTCTCTCCGGCATCGGAACTCCCTCTCGCGGCCTCGATCTTCGTGAATCGGCGCTTCCCGGCGAAGATCTGCCCGATTTGGCACCTCCACTCCGCCTAGGTCGACGCGATTTGGGCTCTCCTCGCCCCGAGGCGTGCGATGTCGCCTCTCCCCGTCCCGTCGTTCGCCGTCGCAACCCAACTCGGCCTCCCTGGCCATCGGCCGCGCCGCCAGTAGTGCCTCCATCCTCCGCAGCGCCGCTCGCAAGTCACCCATCTGGGTCCGAATCTTCCCCACTTGGTCCCGGAGTTCCCCCATACTCCCTCCAGAAACCTTGTGATTAGCTATTAGAGCAGCCCTAAGTTTCTCTCTTAACTCAAAGAGCTCCGTGGATTGTAGATGCTTTGATACCATTGTTAGGATCCTGAAAATCTATGCTTCATTAACAATACTAGAAATAGAAAATTACAAGATAGATGAGCGGTTTCGAGGACCTCCGACCTCCAAAATAGTGCACAGCACTAGACACTCTCTACAAATCTGATTCCCCCCTCACTAACAACTAAACCCCATATTTATACTCCCCTTAAGACTATTGAAAAAGACTTCTAAATATTAGGTTCCTAACAATGCCCCTTGGGGCTCTTGGCAGGTTTAAAAACCTTCTTCATGGAGGCATCTCCTCCTTGGAGGGGTCGGCCTCATGGATGCGCCTTGGGGCTCTTGGCAGGTTTAAGAACTTTTTTCATAGAGGCCTCTCCTCCTTGGAGGGGTCGGCCTCATGGATGCAGGTTTAAGAACCTTCTTCGTGGAAGCCTCTTCTCCTTGGAGGGGGCGGCCTCATGGATGCCCCTTGGGGCTCTTGGCAGGTTTAAAAACCTTCTTTATAGAGGCATCTCCTCTTTGGAGGGGTCGGCCTCGTGGATGCCTCTTGGGGCTCTTGGCAGGTTTAAGAACATTCTTCATGGAGGCCTCTCCTCCTTGGAGGGATCGGTCTCATGGATGCCCCTTGGGGCTCTTGGCAGGTTTAAGAACCTTATTCATGGAGGCCTCTCCTCCTTGGAGGGGTCGGCCTCATGGATGCCCCTTGGGGCTCTTGGCAGGTTTAAGAACCTTCTTCATGGAGGCCTCTCCTCCTTGGAGGGGTCGGCCTCATGGATGCCCCATGGGGCTCTTGGTAGGTTTAAGAACCTTCTTCATGGAGGCATCTCCTCCATGGAGGGGTTGGCCTCATGGATGCTGGTTTAAGAACCTTCTTCATGGAGGCCTCTCCTTCTTAGAGGGGGCGGCCTCATGGATGCCCCTTAGGGCTCTTGGCAGGTTTAAGAACCTTCTTCATGAAGGCCTCTACTCCTCGGAGGGGTCGACCTCATGGATTCCCCTTGGGGCTCTTGGCAGGTTTAAGAACTTTTTTCATGGAGACATCTCTTCCTTGGAGGGGTCGGCCTCATGGATACTGGTTTAAGAACCTTCTTCATGGAGGCATCTCCTCATTGGAGTGGGCGGTCTCCTGGATGCCTATTGGGGCTCTTGGCAGGTTTAAGAACCTTCTTTATGGAGGTCTCTCCTCCTTGGAAGGGTCGGCCGTCTGGATGTCTCTCCTCCTTAGAAGGGTCGGCCCTCTCTGACGTGGCAGCGCATATTTTCCCACACAACAATTTGTATTTTCTATGATAATCTGTTCGTGTTGCTCAACTTATAAAGTTAATGAGAAGAAAAATCATGAAATTGAGTAAATGTTGGTGACAAATAATTTGAAAGAGTGACTTATATTTTTAATCTTCTATGCATCAAGTAGATTGATGGATTATCGGAGAGTAGTTTTCCAGCTATGGTGATATGTTTTTGTAGGAACGTATTTCCATCTATGTGTTTAGCAATATGAAAAACTAGCGATTGTCATGCTTCCTATGAAGAATCCAGAGTATGCCAGAAAAGAACTTGGGCTGGTTGAAATGCAATGCAAGAAAATATCACTTTGAGAGCTCTTAGTAGATGAATTCCAGCGTGAGACTTGCATGGAAAGAGAGCATATCAAAGGGGTGCTTTTTTTTTTTCATCATTTCTTTTGCAATAGTGATGCTTTGATTTGTTTGTTCTAAAATTCCGTACATTTTGTTATCTCCGATTTCAAATCTAGCAAAGGGTGGAGCTATAGTCTTTAAGTGATTGTCTATTGTGTACGTGCTTTGCACGTTAACTGTTTCTCCAAAAGTGATGTTATGTTGGAAGTTCTCGTATGTAGTATATAATAGACCCCCTTTTTGTTTCTATAATTGGCTCAACAAAAACGTGTAGATATAATAATGCTTCTCCAACAGCTTGCTCGCAGGGTTCGTGAAATGCGGGAGACAAGGACAGCGCCAGTAGCTCAAAAGTTTGAGAAGAAAGTATCGGTGGTGGGGAGAAAGGGACTTAATACTTTACAATCTTTCCCTCGCGGCATGGAATGTGTTGATCCATTGGGTTTGGGGTAAATTTCAATCCAATGCCTCTGTTTTGTTTTGTTTTCTCTTTCACAATAAAGATATTTTTCAGCAAGCTGGGATAGCTGGCTAAGGATTCACATGTATTGGGATTTAAGTTTAGCAGTCCATTTTACTCCCTTCTTGTTGCTGTTGCTGAGCTCTGTTCGTGTCGTCCTTGCAGTATAATAGACAACAAATCATTGAGGCTGATAACTGAGGCATCAGAAAGCTCTCCATCCAAGCATGAAAGAGATCATCTGGATAACAACCTCCGTGGTAATGTATCATATTTTTAATTACACAATGGAAAGCAACATTGATCTCTTCATTCTTGTTGATTGGCGATGATTGTTTCTTAAAAAAAAAGGGAAAGAAATGTCAGGAAAACGTAATATTTTTCTTTGACTTTTTATTCCCTTAATTTTATTTTTATTGTCAAGAGAATTTCTAATATCCAACTTGCCACACGGATAACTGAAAGTTCTTAGTTTAAATATGTCTTCATTCAAGGTTTCAAGTGTTCATCTGTGATCATGAATTAAGATCACTTAGCAGTAAATCAAAATAAAATATTTAAATTTTGGTAATTGGTTGGTTGTTCCTTTGAAATTTTAGGAGTGGCTAAATTTTGTATATTCCTGTTAAATAGTAAACAACGGACGTATTTATGACCTGAAGTGGCTCAAGAATTTAATCTCGTTAATGCAAGTTGAGTCATGTTAGTTCCACATTTGTGTCTTGCCTTTGCTGTAGCATGTGGCTGACGTTTCCTTTATGGGAATGTGTGCAGAGAAGTTGATGTATTTCTCTGAGAAATTTGATGCGAAGTTGTTTCTATCTCGGATACATCAAGATACAAGTGCTGCAGACCTGGAGGCTGGTGCTCTTGCTTTGAAAAGTGATCTTAAAGGGCGGACGCAGCAGAGAAAACAATTGGTTAAAGACAACTTTGATTGCTTTGTCTCTTGCAAAACCACAATTGATGGTAAGCAATCTTTGTGACATAGGGTTGTCATTATTTGTAGAAAGGGGTAATTACTAGGAGGGGTATAGTGTTAAATGTGCTTTACAATAAGATGCTTCTGATTTGGAAGACACTATAAGCTGGCGGCTGGGCCACAAATTAGACCTGCAAGCATTATGCATTAGAAAGGCACAAGTCATATGAAGTCACTAATGTTAATTTAGGAAGCATTCATAGATGAAACGCATTATTTTTATACTGTTTGTCCTTTTGGAGGTAAATGTTTGTGGAGAAAAGAACTAATGACTTCTTTTGTGGCCGTGAATGATGGACTTTTTAATCCTTAAGATATCATCTTATTTTTCTCATCTTTTTTCCCCTTTTCTCTTACAAGAAAAGAAAGATTTGTTCAGAGAATAAAATTTGTTTAAATAGCATAAAGTGTCCTCATGGAAACAAAAGAAAGTTACAAATCCTATCACATAGCTTTTCAATATCCTTGCGCTCCTTTAACTAAGGACCATTATCCATAGTGAACATGTCTGTCTCTTCTAACAGGCATTGTATTCTGCTTTCTACTCCAGAATCTAGCCAAAAAAGTTTATCCTTAACCAATGAAGCATTATGCACCATGGGGAGACCACTTCACACTGAAGTATCTGTCTCTTTTATGTCTTCATTGTGCATACAGATGAATGGCTTGAATGACTAATATTTCTGCCAGACACGTTATGAATGCCATGAGTACAGGCTACTAAACCCATAGCACTACTCTAGAAAATCTAATGCATTTTATTATTTTGCAAAAAAAAAAAAAAAAAGAAAGAAAGAAAAGTTGCTGCATTTTCTTTCTTTGCTACTTAATGAGTTCCTTATCTTTTTGAGTCATTTTCTCTACTCTTAACTATATCATGAATCATTGTTGAGTTATAATAATAACCATTATTAATTAGGTCAAGCCCACCCACTAATTTCTCATGAGTGTCTTCCTATTAGGAGGGAAAAAAAAAGTGAAATGTCATTGGGTCTGTCCTTTTGCTTGATTGCCTTTTGGTATTGCTGGAGTGCTTCTTGTTGATGTAGTATCTTACATTCAACAGATATTGAGTCAAAGTTGAGGCGAATTGAAGAAGACCCTGAAGGATCAGGAACTTCCCATTTGTTTAGTTGTATTCAAGGAGTGAGTTCGTTGGCTAATCGTGCTTTTCAGCCTTTATTTGAGAGGCAGGTTTGTGATACTTATTCCTGGGTTGATTGCTAGTTCTGTCTGTGCTTATGGAATTTGGATGACTTTGTTGTGATGTATCTCTTGAACTATGATTTAGGCTCAAGCTGAGAAGATCAGGTCAGTCCAAGGAATGTTACAGAGGTTCCGGACCCTCTTTAACTTGCCAAGTACCATACGTGGGAGCATTAGTAAGGGAGAATATGATTTGGCAGTTAGAGAATACAAGAAGGCGAAATCCATTGCTTTGCCATCTCATGTATACAACAATCTGCCTTTGCTCTTGAAAGTTATTTTACTTGAGATAAATTATATCATGTTTGAAATGCATGGATTATATACAATGACGATGCCTTTCACTCTTCTTATTGTCACGTTGTTTACTTCTCATATAGGAGCTCCTGACATGAGTTTTGGTTTATGAGTTCTATTCTGGTCCTTTTAAAGTATTTTGATGTCATACTATTAAGATGCTCTTTCCTGGCTTTCATGAATGATTAAAATATATCTTTATTCTTAAAAAAAAATATTAATGCTGAAAAATGCTATCAAAAGAACTGAGGAAAAGATATCCCTATAAGGATTACAGCAAAAAGCAGGAAAAACTGCGGAAACTAAAAAACTTGAGAATGATCTTTTTATATTTATTCTTAAGAGCTGGAAGAATATATTTTTTTTTAATGTTTTCTCGTCTTTAAAAAAAAAATCTTTGTTTATTGGAGGTCTTGTCATTCTCGTTTTCTCTTATTTATTATGTGTGATGATAACGGCGTCCTCTGATATAGATTATTCCATTTTATCATTTTTTGGCAGAAATATATTTATGAATTTACAACTATACTGATTCATGTCTATGGGCTAATATTTCCTACTTTAGTAATTCTTTTCCTTCCTTTTCTTGTTTTAAAAAATCCTTCTTTTATATAGTGTTTCTCTATTTGGCGGCTTACAGGTGGGAATACTGAAACGTGTTCTTGAAGAGGTTGAGAGGGTGATGCATGAATTTAAAGGAATGCTTTACAAGTCTATGGAGGACCCACAAATAGACTTAACAAATGTAAGCTTATGATGTACCTTTCGAGAATTCCTCTTTTAGTTGACACTTAATGCTGAAAGAGTGGTGTTAGTGCTGTTCACCACTAGAAATTAGTATTATCGCTTGAGATAGAATAAAGTATCTTTTGCTCCAGGGTGATACTATGATTAGCTTATATTTTGGTTATACAAGGTTACAGTTGTTGTCATTCTGTCATATATATATTTATAATCTTGGATCAAAGATATGTTACTTTTCTTCCCCTTTTTGTCTATTGTTATCTCTCTGTCTCTCTCTCTCCCTCAAGCTCACTATCTCTCCGTCTGTTTCTTACTCTCACCCCCTTTGTCCCTTTAATCCTTATATTTTGACGCTTATGCAATACTTCACTTTATGTAGCTCGAAAACACTGTAAGGCTTTTGGTGGAGCTGGAACCTGATTCAGATCCTGTCTGGCATTATTTAAGTATACAGGCAAGGAAAATTTTTCTACTATTCTTTTGTTGTTAAAGTATAGTTGGGATGTAACTGTTTCATTTTGTGCTGGATTGAGTTTCTCTAAGCACTCATTCTTCAAGTTTTTAGTTCTGTAGATTTTACTTATATGGTGAACTGAGTCAGAACATGAAGCTTTAACTCTTCTATTATACCCGCCTATAACTTCCATATTTCTAAACCACTATCAGCTAGTAGTTGCATGACTCGTGCGGCCACCAGAAAAAAATGAAAATGAAAAGAAAAATACCTTATGTTTCTGTTTCGGGAAAATCACTCCAGTTTGATCACCAAAAGATCAACAGACTAAATTTGAGCTTCTTGTTCCTTTCAGAACCAAAGAATTCGAGGTTTGCTTGAGAAGTGCTCCTTAGATCATGAAAGTAGGATGGAAAATTTGCATAATGAGATTCGTGAAAAAGCCTTGTCTGATGCAAAATGGAGGCAGATTCAGCAAGACTTGAATCAATCTGTAAGTTTAACCATCAAATTATTTATTTTTTATTAGTATAGGAAATATGCTCTTTCCATTGCCGAATACTGCTTATTCATGAATTTTTATACTTCTGTTCTTCTATTTCCTCTTGCCAGTCAGATGTCAACTATTCTATGAACAACCACCTTTCAGTGGATTCTCGGCCAGTAGACTTGACAAGTGAAGAAGTTGATGCACTTAGAGGGAGGTATATTCGAAGGTTAACTGCTGTACTTATTCATTATATACCAGCCTTCTGGAGAGTAGCACTTTCTGTTTTCAGTGGGAAATTTGCGAAGGTATATTTATTAATTTCTTTAATATGAACCCTTGATTTTAGTTTCTAGAGCTGCTAAACAATTTTAAAAATTCGATAATTCTAAAATTTAGATGAAATGAGGCAAGGGCACTTTATTTGGAATGGAATTTTATATTTATCAGTTTCTCACCTTTTTATTCATTTTCTAAGAAATCTATGAACTTACTCTTTTTCATGGTTTCAAAGACTAAACTGTTAAATCATAAAGAGCCTAAATCTAATTGCAGATATAACAAAATCGCATGAACTGGGTTTTATGGTGACCTTAATCTTCTTATAATCTTTATGATTACCCACTTTCTAGCTTTTTTCTTATCTTTCTGTTATAATTTGAAGACCAGCAAGGTTTTCTTTGCCACTGACCACTTTTTTGCTATGATTTATCCTTCGTTTCGCTTCTGGATCTTATTGTTTCAAGTTGTCTCAGGTTTCAACTGAAGCAAATACTAATGCTTCTGCAAATAAAATTGAGGAAAAAGTGGGAGATGGGAAGTACTCATCTCACTCTCTCGATGAAGTTGCTGGAATGATTAGCAGTACCATATCTGCTTATGAAACAAAGGTAAGCGCACTGGCTCGAGGATTTTGTTCCAGTTCATAAATGTGAGCCCAGTCAAATAAGCTACTCTTATTGATCTTTAATATTACCAACTTTGTTCATCTAATAGACTCCTGTTTTCCGGTTTGATCGTTATTAATTGTGGTTCAATTCACTCATTATTTTTTAAAAGAGAAGCATATTATTATCTACATCTTGATCTCTCTCTTGATTTTTTCATTACCCGGTTAATGTTATATTCAAACTTTAGTATTAACACCATCCTCTGTTAACCTGCATTTGCTGTCTGTATGTTTATATCTGATGTTCAGTCCCTGGATTTAGTTAGTCGGTGGTTACCAATAAGTTCATGATGGTGCAGGTTCACAATGCATTTCGTGATCTTGAAGAATCAAATATTCTCCGACCATATATGAGTGATGCCATAAAGGAGATTACTAAGGCATGCCAAGCTTTTGAAGTGAAGGAATCAGCTCCCTCAATTGCTGGTCATAGTTTTCTCTGAAGCTGCAAATATTGAGTTTTTTTTTTTTTTTTTTGCTGAATTCAAAATATTGAGTTTGTTAGTGGAGTCTGAGCTATTTGACTTTATTATGCAACAGTTAATGCGGTAAGAACACTTCTTTCAGAGATAACAAAGATTTACATTCTAAGGCTTTGCTCATGGATGCGAGCATCAACAGAGGAGATTTCAAAGGATGAAACTTGGGTTCTAGTATCAATTATTGAAAGGAACAAGTCTCCTTACACGATCTCTTTCTTGCCTCTGGCTTTCCATTCTGTTATGGCCTCAGCAATGGATCAGATCAATTTGTAAGTCTCTCTCTCTCTCTCTCTCTCTCTCTATTGTTTTTTAGGATGATGAACCTTTTGTAAGCAATAGGTGGCAAGCTCGAGATTTGTGAACTTGCGCCTGAGTCCTGACCTGTTGCTCTCCCAAACTTCCTGAATTGTGGCATGGAATTTAGGGTTTAACATACTTTTCATCTTAAAAGGCAGATAGCTCACTAATTTATCCGCTGGGATTGGACTGTGGGGATACGGTATCTTGTGGAGATAGATCTCTAATATTTGTGCAGGGTTTGGAGTGTGGATGTAGAGTTTGACATACTTTACATCTGAAAGCAGATAGTACCTTGCACTGCCACTCTGTCAAATAATCTTTTTCATTACTTTGCAGGATGGTTCAGTCTCTAAGTAGCGAGGCTGCAAAGTCTGAAGATATGTTTTCACAGTTTCAAGAGACTCAAGAATCTGTTAGACTTGCATTTTTAAACTGCTACCTGGATTTTGCTGGTACAATAAATGAGGTTTCCACTTGGTGATTATTTGAATTTGAAGTATGCTTGGAATTGTCTAGTTGTGTTACATTTGTATTCTGTACATTAATTAGGTTATTTGGAGCGTATTGGGAGCGAGCTTGCCCAAAACAAAACAAGCAAAGAAGGTTCACATTTTCCGAATGGATATTCAGATGAATTAGAAGAGAAGTCATTCACTGATTTCCCTGGAAGTGTAGCGGATCCTCACCAAAGACTCTTGATCGTATTAAGTAACATCGGCTATTGCAAGGAGGAACTTTCATATGAGTTATACAACAAATACAAACATATCTGGCTGCAGTCTAGGTATATAACCCCTTTTCTGTCACTTATGAGTGAACTTTGATTTTTGCTGAAGCTTCTTCTTTTCCGCATGTTGTGGAAAATATGGATAAGAAGTTGCTGAATCTCATATCTGGCCAAGAGTCGCACATGCTTAAATAGAGTGAAACATTTCTTATGAACCAATGTTTGTGATAAGAACAATGCAATTCTTACGCCTGAAATGATCAAAAGAATGAAAGAAGAAATCTTTATTGATCAACAGAGAGAATTACAGACTACCGAAGGACTCCCTTTCCCCTGCTCAGCCTTAGCCAAGTCTTCCTTTTACAACTCCAGTTATTTCCTGCCCTCATTAATCCAACTCTGGCCTATTTATACCTCTCTACAATACACACGGCAATACTAATAAGTCCACGTCACACTTTATTACCTCTCCTCACATATACCTGCTTTAATAACGGCTTATTGCCCTTATCAACTACTCCGCCCCCAAAAAAAGTCACCTTGTCCTCAAGGTGAAATTCAGGAAACTGTTGTTGAATAACATCAAAAAGTTCCCACGAAGCCTCGAAGTCAGGTAAATGACGCCACTGCAGCAACACTTCCAACTGCCCCGAGACCGGTGAAAATCGAGTGGCCAACAGCTTCTCCGGCTCGACGCGCAACTCCATGTCAGCTGTTAAGCTCCGCGGAACCTCTTGAGCCGGTAAAGACAGGCCGATGGCCTTCTTAAGTTGCGACACATGGAAAACCGGGTGGATTTTCGCAGCCGCGGGTAGTTGCAACCGATACGCCACGGATCCGACACGCATGAGAATCTTGTAGGGACCATAAAACCTAGGAGAGAGTTTCTCATTGGAGAACTTGGCTAAGGAACGATGGCGATATGGCCTGAGTTTCAAAAATACCAAATCCCCTACCTCAAAAGACACGTCCCTTCTTTTAAGATCCGCCTGCGCTTTCATTGCCTGCTAGGCCTGCAACAAATGCGCGTGAAGCTCGTCCAAAATGTCATCCCGGGACTGCATTTGCTGTTCCAATAAGGAGTTAGCTGTAGAGCCTAGCTCAAAACGAACTAACTTGGGCGGATCACGACCATACAACGCACGGAAAGGAGTCATCCCCGCGGAGACGTGAAAGCTCGTATTATACCAATATTCAGCCCAAGCAAGGTGCGAAAACCAGTGAGTCGGTTTTCCGGAAACAAAGCAACGTAAATAAGCTTCCAAACACCTGTTAACCACCTCCGTTTAACCATCCGATTGAGGATGGTAAGCCGTACTGTGATGCAACGAGGTCCCTTGCAAACGAAAAAGCTCCTTCCAAAAATGACTGAGAAAAACCTTGTCGCGATCGGACACAATGGTTTGAGGAAACCCATGGAGCCGGACCACCTCCCTAACAAACAGTGCAGCCACCGATTTTGCCGAAAACGGATGACATAGGGCCAAAAAATGGGCATACTTACTAAGCCGGTTCACCACCACCAAAATAGAATCATGACCAGCTGACTTTGGAAGACCCTCCACAAAATCCATGGAGATATCATCCCATACTAGGCTTGGAAGAGGTAACGGCTGCAGCAACCCTCCGGGAGACAAAGTAGAAGTCTTATTCTGCTGGCACACCGAACAAGCGGCCACCCAGGATAACACATCCCGCTTCATGCCATACCAAAAAAATTCAGAAGACAACCTCTTAAAGGTCTTCAATACCCCTGAGTGGTCCCCAATCTTACTACCATGAAACTCAGCCAATAGGGCCGGTATGAGAGAAGAATGCCTGGGTAGGACCACCCGCCTCTTATACAACAACATGCCGTTACACAATGAAAATCCTTTCACCGTTGCGGAATTAGCCACAAGAGCAGCTTGAATAGCGGCCAGCCGAGGATCCTTCTGGATTTGGTGACAAATTTCAGCCCCGTCATATACGGCCGAAGTGGTAAGATGGGCCAATTCCAACCCTGACGGCGGCCTAGATAGCGCATCAGCCACCCGATTTTCAGATCCCGGCTTGTATTGGATCTCAAAATCGTACCCCAACAACTTACACAACCACTTTTGGTGGTCCTCACTGATTAATCTCTGCTCCAACAAAAACTTTAGACTTCTTTGATCCGTTCGAACAATGAAATGACGCCCCAATAAGTAATGATGCCATTTCTGAATGGCGAGGACCACAGCCATGAGCTCGCGCTCATAAACTGATTTCGTTCGAGCACGTGATGACAAAACTTGACTGAAGTAAGCAATGGGCCGCTGATGTTGCATAAGGACTGCGCCAATCCCAAATCCGGACGCATCCGATTCTACTACAAATGGCTGGCCAAAATCTGGCAGTGCCAAAACCGGGACTGTGGTCATGGCCCGCTTCAATTTCTGAAAAGCGTCCTCCGCCTCGCTAGTCCAATGAAAGTTGTCTTTCTTTAGTTGTTGCGTAAGTGGCCAAGCAAGGTGCCCATAGCCCGAAACAAACCACCGATAATAGCCCGTTAACCCCAAATACCCCCGCAACTCCTTGATAGAACGAGGTGTAGGCCAATCTACCATTGCTTGAATCTTGCTCATATCCGCTGCCACCCCATTTCCCGAGACAATGTGGCCCAAATACTCCAACTTGCCACTAGCAAAAATACATTTTTTTTGGTTCACATATAAGTGATTGTCCTCCAAGGTAGACAAAACGACATCCAAATGGTTGATGTGGTCTTCAAGAGTTCTACTATAAACCAAAATGTCATCAAAAATACCAAAACGAATTTCCGCAAAAAAGGTTTCAATACCTCATTCATAAGGGATTGAAAAGTGGTTGGAGCGTTGGTTAACCCAAAGGGCATAACCAAAAACTCGTAATGTCCTTCATGCGTCCGAAAGGCTGTTTTCGGGATATCTTGTTTGCACATCCGAATTTGGTGATAACCGGATTTTAAATCCAATTTGGTAAAGATGGTGGCCCCACTCAATTCATCCAATAACTCTTCAATAACCGGAATAGGAAACTTATCGGGAACCGTAGCCTTGTTAAGTGCCCGATAATCCACAAAAAATATCCAACTCCCATCTTTTTTCTTTACTAAAAGAACTGGGCTGGAAAATGGGCTGCTACTTGGCTGTATAATACCCGCCAAAAGCATCTCCCTCACCAATTTCTCAATCTCGTTCTTCTGAAAATGAGGGTACTTATAAGGCCGAACACTAATAGGGGCGGTCCCCTCCTGAAGAATAATGCGATGATCCCGCATTCGTTGGGGAGGAAGCCCTTCCGGCATGTGTAAAACCTTCGAATGTCGCTGCAGGACCGCACTCACAGCCCCCTGGAATTGCTGATCCAATTCTCCCAATTTCCCCAAATCCGGTCCACTGTTAGCATCTAGGGCACTTAGTTCTAAGTAGATGCCGTGGCCCTCATGTTTGATGGTCCTATACATGGCCTTAAGAGAGATCATTGCGGTGGAGAGACTCAAATCACCCCTCAAAGTAACCGTCTCTCCTCTTACCCTGAATTTCATAATCTGCGATTTCCAATTGACATGCACCCCACCTAATGTTTCCAGCCATTGCATGCCCAATATAACATCCACCCCCCCCCCCCCCCCCCATCCTGCATACCCAATATAACATCCACACCCCCCAATTCAAGCGGTAAGAAATTTTCCACTATGGTCAAGTGTGCTAATGTCAATGCTACCTCCTTGCATATCCCTTTCCCTTTTACTGACTCTCCCGTCCCCAATTGTACCCCAAACCCAGCAGTAGGTGCAATAGGAATCATAACTCTCTCCATAAAACTTAATGAAATGAAATTATGAGTTGCGCCGGAATCAATTAATACTATTACCTCTTGTTTAGCAATTGTGCCCCGGAGCTTCATTGTCTTTGGCGTCGAAAGTCCTACCACGGAGTTCAAAGACAACTCAATAAGTTCCGGCTGCCCCTCCTCCCAATCTGAGCATGGCAAATTTGGATCATCCTCTTCATAGTCGGTTGTATCCTCATCGCTAACCAACATTATCCACAGCTCCTTCTTCTTACAACGATGGCCAAAGGTGAACTTCTCATCGCACCTAAAGCAAAGTCCTTTATCCCTCTTTTCCTGCAACTCAGAATCGGAAAGCTTACGGAATGGAAAATCCCTTCTTTGTGTTGCCGTTTTCTCTAGCAATGCAGGGTTCCGCTGTGGCCGCTCCACTACCGGCACCGTCCTAACCAAAGTTGGAGAAGACTCTGCCCTCGGGGGACTATGAAATTGTGGTCGGAAAAAACTGGCTTCAACTCTAAATTGTGGTCGGGAAAAACTGGCTTCAACCCTTTCCCTCCGCAGCAAATCATTCCTTTCCTCAATTCTCTGGGCAATCTCCATGATTTCCCCCAGCCCCACCGGTTTCAGGAGCCTCACCTCAGCCCGAATCGGTGCCTTGAGTCCATTAACAAAAATCCCTTCCAGTACCTCCTCCGGCACATCCCTTAATGGGGCCGCGGACACCTCAAATTGCCGACGGTATTCGGCCACTATTCCCCCCTGCCTTATTGCCAAAAACCTCTCACAAAGATTGCCCTCTTGCGAGGAGCGGAATCTTTGCAACAAGGCGACCCTAAACTCCGACCAATTATGGAAAGGCCTACGGCCATTCTGCCATTGGAACCACGACAGAGCATCCCCCTCCAATGAAATTCCCGCTGTGATGAGCTTCTCCCTGTCCGAACACCGTTTTATGGAAAAAAACTGTTCCATACGGAACAACCAACCATCTGGATCCTCTCCCCTAAATATAGGACACTCTACATGTCTCCTACGAAGACCTGCCCAATCTTCATTAACCGGCAACTCTTCTAACACCCCTCTGCCCTCCCAGTTTTCCCTGCCCCTATCTATCACGTTACTGTTCTGTCCCCTTTCTCCCCCTCGATGAACAGGGAACCCGGTCCCAATCCGCCGGTCATCAAATTCCAAAGACTCACCATCCACGAACAAACCTCGCCCCTCACCTCGATGCCCGTTCCAATTTCTCCCTTGAGCGCCCCAGGGAGCTCCCCTCGCAAACCCTCTCCCATCCTCTCTTCCTTCGCGACCTGGATTTCGAAGATTCCTCCCCTCCATCGCGCGATCGATGCCCCGTTCTTGCCAACCCAAATCCCCCGCCGGACACATAACCTGTTGCGTCACCCTAGTGTTAATTGATTTTTCCTCACCCAAACGCATTTCCACTCGCTCGTCAGCACGATTTGCCTCCCGAGCCTCTCCAGCACGAATACCCGCACGTTCTCCATCGCGATTCACATCACGATCATCGGCGGCGCGATCGGGTCCGCGATTCAACTCGCGACCTTCTCCGGCACGATTTAGTCCGTGATCCATCCCGGCGGTAGTCGCAACCGTCTTCTCCGGCACCGACGTGGCCGAAGAAAGGAGTTTCATCTGTTCCTCCATTAACCGGCGAATCTCGGACATATCTGTCCTATTCTGAGACAATTCCACCCTAACTTCTCCGAGACCTTTCTCCATGTCGCCCATTCCCTTCTCCATGGAAACCCTAACTTCCTTGATCTCTTTCCCCACCAACTCGAACCTCTCATATGTTTTCCTAGCCGCCATTTACTGCCAGAATCAACGCTCTGATACCAAAATGATAAGAACAATGCAATTCTTACGCCTGAAATGATCAAAAGAATGAAAGAAGAAATCTTTATTGATCAACAGAGAGAATTACAGACTACCGAAGGACTCCCTTTCCCCTGCTCAGCCTTAGCCAAGTCTTCCTTTTACAACTCCAGTTATTTCCTGCCCTCATTAATCCAACTCTGGCCCATTTATACCTCTCTACAATACACACGGTAACCCGCCCCCGCACTGTACACAAACCACACTACTAACACTAACAATACTAATAAGTCCACGTCACACTTTATTACCTCTCCTCACATATACCTGCTTTAATAACGGCTTATTGTCCTTATCAGTTTGATTCATTTTTTGTGAATCTGGGCTGTGGGTTTAGATCCCGTCCTAGATGTGTTTGAGGGAACTTAACTCCCTCTTAAGTTTTGGTGGTCTTAACCTAAAGTGTACAATAAAAACCCATCCAAATACCATTTGTTTTAACAGTTTAAATTGATGTAACCAAACACCAGTTCAGACTTTATTTCCTGTTCAGACTTTATATTACCACACGTCAATTTGGATTGCAGTTTGAACGGCAAGATTCTAAATCACCGGTTCAAATTAAAAGTGTTCAAAAGCACCTAATTCGAACCTGCGAAACGAACAGTCTTAGTTTTATCCTGCTGATTCCACTAATGATATCATCTCGTGTATTGTTATTTTATTTTATTTTTTCAGGGAAAGGGATGAAGAGGTCAGTGACATACGAGATTTAGTGGTGTCTTTCTCTGGGCTTGAAGAAAAGGTCCTTGAACAATATACTTTCGCAAAGGTATAGCACAACTCAAACATGCTTTAGTTCTTCAAAAGAAAATTCCTACTATCATCTCTGCTCCGCAAACCCCTGCCACGTCTTCTTCCCACAAGCTCATAAGACTAAAATGTATGTAGCTGTTACTGTGTCTGATGTGGGATCCAGGGAGTTTCTACCGTGTTGATTTTTCTTTTTTGTTTCAGCAACTCTATTATCGCATATCTGCTAAAAGCAATAGAGAGAAGAAATGCATAAATATAATTTATCCTACAATCTTTTGTAGTTGAATTATACAATAAAAGGACTTTTCTTATAAAATAATTACAAAGGTTAAAATGTTGCTGGCCCATTCTTTATGCACAAAGTGTTTGTTTGATCCCCGTATTTTCAAAAGTTATAACCTCCAACACTGTAGACTGTATGGAAGAATTAAAGCCTCGAACTAAATCACTTTTAACGAGACCAGTAGGCATTTTATGGTGTCTGGTCACCCTTATGGTCATTGAAAAAGTGGTTCAATATGTTAAGTGAGTACAAAGGAAATGTGATTGCGGGAGGGGATTCTAGTGCTCAAGTTTCTCAGTTTAGTTAAGCTTCCTTGATAGAGAAATTTGGAGGTATGATAATTGACTACTGTGAGGACCTCTGATGGTTTCCAGGGCAAGAGCTTGCTTCTTAACTCTTTAAATGCTCGTATGCTTTCATTGAATAACTATAATTCTGCAATTTTTTCATTTACTTTGGTCCCCTTCTGATTGTTATATGCTTTCAAATTTCTTAGGAGTTGCCCTATTTTTATGAGCATTTACTCTTAAAATATCCAAGAATAAGTAAATAAATAAAAAGGAACAAAAATGGAATTTTTAATTTACTTTTCTTTGTCTCCTCATTTCTAGTTTGATTGTTGACTGAACATTTTTGTCTCTTCCCATCAGGCAAATTTGATCAGATCTGCGGCTGTGAACTATTTGTTGGATTCTGGTGTTCAGTGGGGTTCCGCACCTGCGGTTAAAGTCGGATACTGTTGATTTTTCATTAGTAACAGTAGTTCTTTCTTGCTTCTCCTCCAAACCTTCTTTGTCGGAGGTTGCCTTTTCTTTTAGCGTTTTTAAGTGCTGGTATTGTGCAGGGTGTAAGGGATGCTGCTGTCGAGTTACTGCACACCTTAGTAGCTGTGCATGCAGAGGTACCTAATGCATGCCTTCTGTTTTCATTTTTGTTTAACTTAGTTTATTATTACTCTTTATCTGGAAGCTAAATAGCAATTTCTATCTTCAGAAACAATTAGACTAGTAAAACCAATATTAGTCCACCACCTAATAGCTTAAGCTTTTGAGATAAATGGTAAATTAGCATAGTATCATATTAGGAGGTCCCGAGTTCAAACCCTTACGGTCGGGTCAGGCCTCACATGAGGGGGAGTGATAGAACATAAATAGTATGTTAGTCCACCTTCTAATTGCTTAAGCTTTCCTGACAATGGTAAATTAACAGAAACCTCTCTTTCTCCACTCATATTCTTGTTATTTTTGAGGCAGATAATCACGGGTGGAGTGCTAGACTGAGCTTGTGTCTGCATTGTCTTACTAGCTTTTTTATTTATATAGTTATATGCACAATGACATCTGGAGGTATATAAAGTTATGCCGTGCTAAAAAGAAGCAAACTCTTTGACTGCAGGTCTTTGCTGGAGCTAAACCCCTTTTGGATAAGACACTTGGCATTCTTGTTGAAGGTCTAATTGATACTTTCCTCAGCCTTTTCCACGAAAACAAGACCAAAGATCTTAGGTGGCTTGATGCCAATGGTTTCTATCAGCTCACGCTTGAGGTAAACATTATTGTGTCTGACTTTTGCAATCCTCTGTGTCCATACATCGCTACGGAGATGGCTCATATTTCTGCCGCTTTGTATATTGTGCAGCTTGAGTATTTTGAAACCATATTGAATCCTTATTTTACACCCGATGCGAGGGAGTCTCTGAAGTCCTTACAAGGGGTGCTTCTGGAGAAAGCCACTGAGAGTGTAAGTGAGGCTGTGGAAAATCCAGGACATCACCGACGACCAACCCGTGGAAGTGAAGATGCACTTGGAGATGACAGACAGCAAGGATTGAGCGTCTCACCAGATGACCTGATTGTAAGAGCTCTTTCCTTGCCTTTTTCCTGTACCGTGTCAGGTTTCAAGGAAATTTGGGACCACATATATATATATATATTTGATATATCAGTCCTTGTTGCTGCTTGTCATATCTAACATAATAAACGTACATTTTAGAATTTAGACATGCATAAAAATGGGCTTATCATTGGGGTCTTGATATAATTTAGTGAGTGCAATCTAAGTTTAAGTGTTTCTCTCAATTTGTTTCTTAAATATGTTCTCTCAATTGTTTCCATGTATGCTCTAGGCTCTTGCTCAGCAGTGCAGCTCTGAGTTGCTAGAAGCAGAGCTCGAAAGGACTCGCATTAACACGGCATGCTTTGTGGAGTCAGTTCCATTGGACTCCGTACCAGAACCTGTTAAATCTGTACATAATTCCTTCAGAGGTTCAATGGACTCTCCCAGCAGAAACTTCAGAGGAACACAAGCTACCGCATCCTTGAGCTTCTCCCGCCAAAGGCGTCGATGAATTTCCCAGTTACCTGGATTTTTGTTCCTGTGTATGTTCCAAGTGTTGTGCTTTAGTTATTGATTGCTATAATGTCCAATTTTTTTTCCTCCCATTTTTAGTTCCTCTGTGATTGTCTTCCCGTTTTTCCCCCTTGCCTTTTTCACCCCCCGTTTTTTTGTTTTATTTCGACGGGAAAATGTAGTTTGTATATGTTATTTTTGGCAATCTTTCTGGCTTTCTAGATACTGTTAATAAAAATGCATGTTTATTTATTTATTATATATTTGATTGGCCAAAATCTTTTAAAAGAAAATCCTATTACTATGTCATCTGTTAATTAACGATCTTTTTTTTCTTTTTTAAGAAAACTAAGGATCTCTTTACTAGAACTGCAATTGATACCTATGGGCGAATTCTTCGGTGGAGCACGTGATTACCTATTATAACAAGTGACACCCATAAGTACTGCCGTTGGACGTTCCTAAAGTGAGTAGGTAATATTATCAATGGTGGATGCATTTCTGTTTGGTTACCATACAAAAAAAAAAAAAAAAAAAAAAAGGGAAATAGAAGTTATTAGCGCTTGTTACATTGAGTCTTTTTCTCTCAACTTTTAATTTTGATAAATTAGTTTTTAAATTTTTATTTTTTTGACAGTTTTAATTCCTAACACTAAAATTAATGTAGAATTATTAAAATTAAATATAAATAATTGCGTTCCTATTGCATAATAACTAAAAATTTAACATGAAAAGTCATTAAGTGCAAAATGTTATTTTTAACAATGATATTATAAATATTTTCTTTTTCTCTAAATTAAATATTTTGAATATTTAAATATCATAAATATTTCAAATGTTTTCACGTATCAAATGTTCAATAACAAAATTAAAAAAAAAAAACATAAAGTAAATTACCAAAACAAAGGACTGATTTGCTAAAGAAACGCATACAGAGGTCAAAAATGCAAAAAAAACAAAATAGTTAAGGGAACTGCCACGTTTGATTTCCTATCGTAGCAATTTTCTCCTTCCCGGCCAAAAATTCAAGAAGAGACGCAGGATGACTACGCAAAAATCCATTTCAGCAGTGTCTGCACTCTCTTATTAAAAAAAAAACAAAAAGAGTCTGAACTCTCTGGAAACAAAAGAAAGCTCAATATAACAGAAGAAGGTCTGGGGATTTTCATGGCATAGAGCAATAACCAAAAAAGAAGAGAGAGAGAGAGGGTAACAATCCATGGAGAAATCAATGGAGGGCTCGCGAGAACTTCAGTGCGTGGGGAAATTGGAGATTGCGAAACCCAAGCCCGTCGGCTTCCTCTGCGGCTCAATCCCCGTTCCCACTGACAAGGCCTTTCACTCCTTCACTTCCGCTCTCATTCCTTCCCACCAAACGTCCGTACTCTCTCTCTCTCTCTCTCTCTATATATATATATATATATGTATGTATGTATGTATGTACGTACGTACGTATAGATATGTTTTTGTGTTTGTTTCTTTGATTTTTGTATTTGAATTGTGAGATCGAAGGTTTTTTTTTCTTTTTTTTTTTTTTTGGATTTTGAAAATTGTTCAGAGTAAGTGCTCCTCGGTACCGGATGCTTCCAACGGAGACGGATCTTTATAGACCGCCTCTTCTCTCCGGTTTTCCGGAGAAGTTTCTACCGCTCGCCGCCGTGCAGTCCAGAGCTTCTGGAGGTAAAATTTCATCGTTTTGTATTTTGAAAGTGACAAGGAAAGGAGGGAGAGAGAGAGAGAGAGAGAGAGAATTGATTTGTGATATAACTGTTGATGCATATCTAATTCATTTGAAAAGAGAGATATTGATTTGTGAATGTCTAGTTATGAATAGAGTAATTGTGATAACTAAAAGCCTAAAGCAACAAAATGATCCAGATGTTAGTGAACTACATCTTGAACAGTTAAAAATCAAAAAAGAGAAGGAAAAAGAAAAGAAGCTCCGATTGTTGAACTAGATACATAAATTGTCACCGTAGGAAAGCGCAAGTTCAAATGATGTTCAAGAAGCAAATCCAAGGGAAATAGTTGATGCATATACGGTATTTGTCAGCTGATTAAAGTTTTGATACAGCCGTGAAGTTGCTTTGAAAAGTTCTTGATGCCTATACCGTTAACTTTCAGAATATCTTCACTATGCTTAGAAAGGCTTATGAACATAACATCCTGATAACAACTTCAAAGTTCGTTTTTCGTTCTTCTTGGACAGTTTAGTTCACCTTTGAAGATATTTTATTAAACTTGTCAGATTTACCGTGGAATGTTGGCACTGTTACATCAAATCTCACTAGAAAGTGTGAAGCTCTTGCCGTGTCCGGTGTGGTTGAATATGGAGACGAGATAGATGTAATTGCTCCAGCTGACATTCTGAAGCAAATTTTCAAGATTCCATACTCTAAGGCTCGATTATCGGTTGCCGTTCAGCGCATTGGACAAACACTTGTGCTAAATGCAGGGTTTGTATATATGAGTGTTGGGTGATTTTCATTTTATCTCTTTACTGGTATTATTGGTAATAAATATGATCGTTTTGTGAAGTGTAGGCCTGATGTTGAAGAGGGAGAAAAGCTTATTAGAAGACATAATAATCAAACAAAATCTGCAGATCAATCTTTGTTTTTGAACTTTGCTATGCATTCAGTTAGAATGGAGGCTTGTGATTGTCCACCAAGTCATCGTGTGCCATCACAGGAGCAATCAAACTCTTCTGTTCTTCCAGGATTAAACGCTCCCCAGTTTGCTGGGCAGCATGACAATGTTGTGCAGCATGAAGGACCAAATCATTGTTCAGGATATGCTCAGCTTAAGCATGATGGCTTGTTTTGGGGGAATAAGAAAAACGAGAGAAATAAGGGTCGTGATCCGGTGAAAAAGGTTTCACAAGTTGGTGAGAAGCCCAGGTCAACGATGCAAGAGTCTGAGAAACATAAAAGAGCCAGTGATGATGGATTTTTAAGGGTTTTGTTTTGGCAATTTCACAATTTCCGGATGCTCCTGGGTAGTGACTTGCTGATGTTCAGTAATGAAAAATATGTTGCTGTTAGCTTGCATTTATGGGATGTTACTCGTGAGGTGCTGCAAACTATTACATATGCTTTGTCATTCGTATTTTGCAAATTATTTTGTCTTTTGTTTCTAAATGTTTTGCTTCTATTTTTGCAGATTACTCCATTGACATGGCTTGAAGCCTGGCTTGACAATGTCATGGCAAGTGTACCTGAGTTGGCGATTTGTTATCATCAAAATGGTGTTGTCCAGGGTTATGAGCTTCTGAAAACTGATGATATTTTTCTATTGAAAGGAATCTCTGATGATGGCACTCCTGCTTTTCATCCATATGTTGTCCAGCAGAATGGACTTTCTGTTTTGAGGTTTCTCCAAGAAAACTGCAAACAAGAACCTGGAGCTTATTGGGTACTGTTGCTATATAACTTTATGTGCCTCACGCTTATATAATGTATTCAAGTTTATTCTGCCAATCGTCATTAACCATATTCCAATCTCCAAATTTTGCAGCTGTATAAAAGTGCTGGTGAAGATGTAATTCAACTTTTTGATCTTTCTGTTATTCCTAGCAATCATTCTTCCAGTGATTGCGATGATTGCACAAGCTCCCTGCCATCCATGGTGCATAAAGGGAGAAGTGACTCCTTGTATTCTTTGGGGACTCTTCTATATCGAATTGCTCACCGGCTGTCACTGTCAATGGTACAGGAGAAATATAATGTTTGTCCTTAGTAATTGCATCATGTGTTTTTATTTCTATTACAAATTTTTATGATTCTCTTTGCAGGCACCAGATAACAGGGCAAGGTGTGCAAAATTTATAAAACAATGTCTGGAGTTTCTGGAAGAGCCAGATCACATGGTAACATTGCATTCAGGGAAAGTTTGTAATTATTTTTCTTTTTTCATTTCTTGAGATAGACCATTGCAATAACAGATCTAATCTTCTGATCAGGTCATACGAGCATTTGCACATGAACAATTTGCAAGACTTATTTTAAATGAGCATGAAGGTCTGGAATTGATATCTGAAGCTTTTCCTGTTGAATGTGAAGTTACAGTCTCTGATGCAGAAGAAGAGTCTTCATACTTTTTGAGCAATGTTTCTGACTTGGATGTTCATGAAAACGTTTCCTCTGTGCTAACTGAGGGGGTGTCTCCGTGCAAAGTTGGAGAAAATATTCAAGATTTAGTTACAGATGCGTCAGTAAAGATGACTTTGGAAGCAAATGCATCTTGTCCAAGAGAAACTATAGAATCAAGTAATGTTAATTTTGGAGATTCCAGAGAAGCTGTACCAACACCACTGTGTGTTGACGAAAGGTGTACAGTGAGTGAATTGTCTCCTACAACCACACATGTTGTGGAAACTGTTGCTGATCCAATCTCCTCCAAGTTAGCTGCAATACATCATGTTTCTCAGGCCATCAAATCTCTTAGATGGATGCGCCAACTGCAGAGCACTGACACAGAGCTGAAGGACAAGGATAGTGAAACTCCTGAAACACCACCTCCATCCATGAATCTTTCTATTTGTGCTTGTGGCGATGCCGATTGTATTGAAGTTTGTGACATTAGGGAATGGCTTCCAACGTCCAAGTTGGATCACAAGTTGTGGAAGCTTGTTCTTTTGCTAGGAGAATCTTATTTGGGTCTTGGGCATGCTTATAAGGAAGACGGCCAATTGCATCAAGCTTTGAAGGTTGTAGAATTGGCCTGTTCTGTCTACGGGTCAATGCCTCAGCATCTTAAGGACTCAAGATTCATCTCATCAATGACAGGTTGCTCATTATCTCAACCAAAATTCAGCTATAAAAATCAAAAGTCAAGATCTTACGATGGTGATGTGAGAGATGTGATCTCCAGCTCTAGTGATCGTCCTACTTCTGAGCAATTCTCTTCATCATATCTATTTTGGGCCAAGGCATGGATGCTACTTGGAGATATCTATGTTGAAAATTATATTGTTAAGGGTGATAAGATCTCTATAGAAGCAGAGAGAAAATCTTCTACTAAAGAGTTGAAAGTATCATCTGAGGTTGTAAAGGAAGTTAAAAGGCTCAAAAAGAAGCTGGGGCAGTATATGCAGAACTGCAGTTCATGTTCTCTGGTAAACTGCAGCTGCCAGAGTGATAGGGCAAGTAGCGGGAGCAGTGCAAGTAGTAGGAGTGGAGATATGCGCTCATTACCTTATGGGAGGAAACAGAACAAAACATCTCATGCTAAGAGCAATACCTATACACGGTTGGCAGATCTTGAAGATGATGGTAGCAATTGCAAAATAGAAACCAAACAAAATTCCGAAGGAAAACATTTGCAGCACAATAGAGAAACTGGAACTGTAACAAATATTTTTAAAACCGATAAGTTTGTAGCAAGATCTGCGGCAGCTAGTAATTCTAAAAAGTTAGAGAGTACTTCGGAGATGCATGTCCTGGAATTGTCCACGGCCTCTCAATCCAATATTGCTTTGAGAGACACTCCAAAAGAAAAAAGTGGTGGCATATTCAAGTACCTTAGAGGTCCCATTGGTGGAGATGTTGAATATCTTCTTTCATCTTCCTTGAGCTGTTATGAAGAAGCTAAGAATGCATTGGGTGGACTTCCATCTGGCTCAGGAGAACTACAATCTGTTATGAAAAAGATAGGTTGGGTTTGCAATGAACTTGGAAGATACAGGCTTCAAACTAAAGAACTAACAAAAGCTGAAATTTCATTTGCACATGCTATAAAAGCATTTAGAGAAGTTTCTGACCACACAAATATCATATTGATAAACTGTAACTTGGGTCATGGTAGAAGAGCGTTAGCTGAAGCGATGGTGTCAAAAATTGATGATCTAAAAGTACATGGGGTCTTTCAGAGTGCATACAACCATGCTCGAGATACTGCAAAACTCGAATATAGTGAATCACTTAGATATTATGGAGCGGCAAAGTCAGAACTAAATACCATGGCAGAAGAGTCTGGAACAGTGCCAAGCAACTTGCAAAATGAGGTGTGTACACAGTTTGCTCATACATATCTGAGGCTTGGCATGCTATTGGCAAGAGAGGATACAACTGCAGAAATATATGGAATTGTAGTCATGGAAGATGAAGATATGTGTTACAGTAGTCCTACTGGGAGAAGAACGAGAAAAGAAGTGCAAAAGCATGAGATTGCAGCCAACGACGCTATTAGGGAGGCACTGTCTATGTATGAATCTCTGGGTGAAATTCGAAAACAAGAGGCTGCATATGCGTATTTTCAGCTAGCTTCCTACCACAGGGACTGTTGTCTGAAGTTCTTGGAGTCAGGACATAAGAAAAGTACCTCTTCTAGAGGTGAATGCAACACTCTACAACGGGTCAAGCAGTATGCTTCTTTGGCTGAAAGGAACTGGCAAAGGGCGCTGGACTTTTATGGCCCCAAAACGCACCCCGCAATGTATTTGACCATACTGATGGAGAGATCAGCCCTTTCATCAAGCCTTTCAAACCCTTTACACTCAAACGCTGTATGTTCTTGATCTTGATATTAATTTGTTTCACTGCCTTCAATCTTCCCTTTTTCTTACTAGTTCAAAGTGATCTTCACAATTGACTGTTAGAAGGCTAATTTCTTCTCCCAATAGAACTCGACGGTTTGGAAAAGGCATTGAAATGTTTGACTTCAACTTAACAAGGGCATGTTGTATACCAAAAAACAGTAGGCGTTTAGGGTTTACTGAAGTATCACTTTCAGTAGTCTGGCAATACGATGGCAGTACTTAAGATCATATTTATAAGAAATTATTCTACCCTGTAGAGACTCCTGGGATATCATCCTTGTCCATTTATATTTAGAACTTGTTATCACATGGGGACAAATTTAAAGTCTGATAACCGACTCCTTGCAAATTTTTAGCGTACAGTTTGGGATTCCTGTTGTATAAACATGTTAAATAGTTGTGGTCAAAAAACAGACCACAAGGAAAGCTTATCTTAACTAAATTGGGGGGGGGGGGAAAAAAAAGGAAGAAGGTGAAACCATCAAGCCAAGGTGATTTTTACTCCTGTAAGAAATTCTCCGTGTTCAAGTTCTTTAGCTTGATTTTTTTGTTGTTAGAAACTCGGCCAATGAATGGATACAATTTTAAGATAGTCTTGGCTTACAAAATAAATGTTTAGAGACTATGAATATTGCACGTTGAGAGTTAATTCAATTAAGATATCAAGCATGCTGATTATCCTGTTGCTAACACTTTCGTCATTTTTACTGTTGTCTGCTGCATTATGATCTTGGATTTGTCTATCTCGAAATTGTTAGTCTATGACTGGGCAAACCTGCTTGTGTGCTACAAATTATTTGTTTCTAATACGTTACTTTCAGAAGTTGATATCTTGTTTTTGTTCCAGATGCTGGAGTCGGCTCTATCCCACATGCTGGAAGGACGTAACATATCAGAAACGACTTTCGACTCATTGAAAGTCGACTGTCCCGAGTTACATTCCAAATTTTGGGGTCAGTTGCAGATGCTTTTGAAGAAAATGTTGGCTGCAACTCTTTCGGGAGGCGCAAACAGACCTCCTGCTTCTCATTCAACTCCATCTTCAAACACATCTGGAGACGCTGGAAAGCTTCGTGACCTTTATGGAAAGTCTCTGAAGTCTTCCGATTTCAGTCAATTGAATGCCATGTACTCTTTGTGGACATCCTAGTCTGGACGTGGCCTTTGATCGTAATCCAACATTGAATATGTTCGTCATAGCTGATGATTGTCTTTTAATTTCTCAATGCTCTCAATCTTTTCTGAAACTTTTCCGCAGGTCGGTTTTGTTGTGTTTAGCAGTCTTCATGTCTCGTACGGGTTAAATGGGTTCTGATTTTATTTGAATTTTGAACCGTTTTTCCTCTTTACGAAGAATGTAGAGCGCTGTATGCAAGAAGTTTTAAACTTATATCTGCGAACGTAAAGTTTGTAATATATTTCGTGATATTTTTTTTCTATTTGATTATGTCATTTAACATGCTAGACGTTCTCTATTATATTTGTGCTATCTCTTCTGTTATTTAAGACCCACTTTCTTATAAATTACTTAGTCTGCTAAGGGTAATAAAAAATAAAAATGGGAATCTGAAAAGTTTTTTTTTCCTTTTTTTTCTGGTATTCAAACTTTCCTCTTTTTTTTTTCCAACTTGTCTTTATTATTATTATTATTGTTGTTGTTATTATTGTCTTTTTTATTATTATTATTATTATTATTATTATTATTGTCTTTATTATTATTATTATTATTATTAAACTTCAATTCAAACTCCAAACCTCACATTTAAAGTACCTTCGTGTCACTGGATTTAATCTTTTATTGGTTAAACATTTGATATTTCTTTATTGGAAAAATATGAGATACAAATAATTTATGTTTTGCTCCCCCTATTTTTCTTCTTGTTGTTGCAGTATTATTCAGCAAACCGACTGCTTTAGATGATATTCAAATGAAATCTACTTATGGTCAGTTTCGACATTTTTTATCCAACTTCAAGGTTAAGTTAGAAAATGACCCTCTGCAGGATATTTCTTTTGGTATTTTTTTATAGCACTGGTAAAAAGAAATATTTTATAAATAATACTGATTTTGTATTTTCTTTTGTTATTATCACAGCAGTAACCACACAACTAATTATGAAATGTTACCATGATTATTATAATTACTAAAATAATCTAACATGACGATAACGCAAAAGAAAATAATCAAAACTAGTATTATTTTTCAAATACCCCGTTCAAGGTGTTAAGTAAATAGCTGAATTTTATATTGTACCCTACTAATTCTCCTTAATGCCATTGTATACGCTCATGTGTCAGAAGGTGGCAGGGAAAGGTGTCTATTAAAAAGTAAGTAATTATATGAGAGTCGTTTAGTTCGTTGATTTAAAATTTTAATTTGAGTTGAGATATAACTTTATGTGAAAATTTTTTATTGTAATAAAATAATTAGATGTAACTATTTCTCATAATTTTTTACAGTAACAAAACTCGAATTCTAAACTTAAATGTACCCTACTAGTTATCCTTAATGCCATTGTATACGCTCGCGTGTTAGAAGGTGGCAGGGAAATGTGTCTATTAAAAAGTAAATAATTACATATAGAATATCCATTTTAAGAATCCTTTGAAAGTTTGTCTAGTAAACCTTAATATTACCATTCTTTCTATTTCATCTAATTAATGGTTTGTAGTACCCGTTGTCTTTTTAGTATATTTTAATTTGATGTTGATTATTATAATAAAGTTGCAACTTTTATAAAAACAACCATAGTTGCATATTGTATCCCAAAATCGGACCTTTTACAATTTCTTCATTATCTTATAGTTGCAATCTTTATGCCCCCGTTTGTTGATTACTATACAAATTTTTGTTGTTCATGTTGATCATGATCATAAAATTACAATCTTTATGATAATGAATATATTTGCATATTATACATAACCATTGTTGACCTTTTTAATTTCTAAGCCTATTTCATTATCATAAAATTGCAATTTTATAGGACTGAAATTGAGGATTAGTGTTGTTATACACATGAGTTTAGAAAGTTTTATAACAATGAAATTGTACACATTTCATTAACCCATCAAGTTGGCCACAAACGCAGACACAAACCTAATGCCACACTATCAAGCTTGTTTGCAAGCCCTCCTCGGATCTGATAAGTGTTGGGTAAACCGTCTGCAAACGATTATGTTAGGCCTTTTTTTCTTCTTCTTCTTCATTTTTTTTTTTTTCGCTGAATATGTTAGGCCCTTGTTTGCGAGCCTCACATTGCAAACAAACATGTTGAGTTTGTAATTTATTCTTTCTGATAATGAAATTTCTCTTTTATTAAAAGAAAAATGCATAATTACATTATGCAAGTCACAAGAAAAAATGAATTCAAAAATGACGTTTGTAATGTTTGTATTTATCAACCTGTCACACTCATAATCAAAATCCATAATTTATGTCATACCTAATAATAATAATACTTGTTGCGTATCAAGATTGGAAGATGTCGTCAATGGCCAATTTAATGACCTAGTCATTCACAATTGTTGAATTTGGGTGGCGACAAGTCGGCGAGATTGTAAATTGGATGTGAAATGCTTACTAATATATGTAGTGTTGGAGATGGACTCTTTAAAGGAAGTAATGAGGAACGATATTGCAAATATGTATTTTTTAAAATCATAACAAATGTTAAATATCGTATCAAAGATCCGAGCAGTGGATGCATAGTAAGAAAAAGACTTAAGATCACATGTTTGATTTATGAGACATTCAGTTCATGAATTAAGAATCATGATTAATAATTCTAATTTTTGAAATTCAAATTTTATGTGAAAAAAATAATGTAGAGAATTAAGAACCATGATTCAAAATCATGGACGAACCCTTGAAACAAACATCTCATTAATGTTTTGTTAGTGTTTAATCAATCACATTATATTAAATTATTCAAAAAAATTTAAATGTTTTTATTTCATATTTTAATGTTTAAGTCCATTGAATCACATGATATAATCTGATTGGTTAGACGGTATTGAGACACTGAAAATTTGAGAAATAATTTGAATATAAATAAACAAGTGACTGTAATAATTTAAGGTTAAATAAGTCTGTTGTCAAATTATTTCAAAATTTATTAGTATACGTAAATTTATGGATTTGAAAATTAATAGCTTAGAATTGCACTTTATTATTAGGGTTGATTTGATAAATTGTCTCTAAATTTTATCCTCACTTTTATTTTAGTCTCTAACTCATAACTTAGTTTATTTTATTTTAGTTTTTAGTCCTTTCATTAAATAAGTGTGAAAAAGTTAAATAATATGCATGTGATGCTGAAGGAAATAATATTTTTAATTGGGTAGAGAATATGCATTCGATTTTGACTTAAAGTGTAAAGACATTTATGGATTATCCTCGATATTAAAACCATTCATTTGTGTGTCCTACCATAAGATTTTTTTTAAAGAGATGTTCCTTACCATCAATACACATATTCCCTTTTTCTTAGCAAAATCTATTTACTTTTTTTTTTTGAATAAAAATCTACACACTTTTTTAATCAAATTCTGTCAACTTGTCTACGATATCATAAAAAGTCTAATTCTAATCCATCATTTTCAGAAATCAACCAAAAAAAAAAAAATAGTATATTGGTGGGTCATGTTTTTTTAACCGTTTGATCTGTGTATTTTTTAACTTTTATGTGATTTTTTATAAATTTAAAAGACAAAAAATATGACATATGTGTATGTTAGTGTACCGAAGAATGTCAAAAAAAAAGAATCTAATTTTTCTCAACCAAAGTGAATCCATTAAAATTAAAAATATATATTTTATGAAAGGGGCCATCCCTTATCGTTTAAGTTTTTGTATTGAATTATTTAATCTGTATTAGATTGTGTCACTTTTATATATTTAACTAGTTTTGTAATGTACTTTATTTATTGTTTATTTAATAATGAGAAATTTATTTATACGACCATTTAAAAGTTTTAAATCTATTTTTAAAAAAATGTTTAAAGATAACAATTGATAAAAGACTTTAAGTAGAGACACATTTGGAGAAAATTATTTTTATAAAATAAAAATAAGGGTAATTAGCATCATTGATCCTCAAGTATCAGTTTAATCTTTATTCTTTTAATTTTGACAAAATGGTCCTCAAACTCTTAAATGATTGACAATTTAAACCTTTTCGTTATAGTGCGTTAATTTTTTAACAGAATACCTCGTGTGCAATGCATGTGACAAGATTTTCAAGGATATTTTAGTAAAATAGTGATTTCATACATTAATAAAAGTTAAAAATTCAAATAAAAAGTTTCCGTTGTTCACCCAGAAAAAAGAAATCTAAAAATTTAAAAATTACAATAGAGAAATGACCAAAGGAAAAAAGAAAAGAAAAGCTAAGCTTATAGATAACAAAAAGAATTACAATCCAGAAAATTTCTCCATAAAAAAAAAAAGGAACAAACTGAAACAAGTTTACCAATTTTTTGTCCCAAACTTCAGCAAAGAATGTTGTTCATACATTGAACCAAAAAAGATGTTTATTCTACGAATAATAAACTGAAACCAGTTTTCTCAAAATTTTCCCAAACTTCAGCAAAGAATCTTGTTTATCCATTAAACCAACAAAAAAAAAAAAGTAAATAAACATCTTCATCTGGACGTCGTCGATGACGCAGCGCTAGGCATAGCAATTAGATCCATGTTGCCGGAGCAGAGAGTGTTAGATTTCGAAGCAGCGACACCGACGCGCCATCTCTCTCACTTGGCCGGTGACCACCACGAGCTTCCTCGCCCAGACGGCGCTCAAGCAACAAACCTTCTTCACCTACGGCCTGAATTGTGTCGAATGGAACGGGGATCGAAGGAAAGGCAAGGTCCTTATTGTAGATATGATTTAGGAAAGATCTTCTTTTGTGCTTCTGGTTGGTTTGAAAAAATCCCAGAAAATGGACTCATGTTTATGGCTCTTTGATTGGACGGATGGTTAAGAGAAGGAATTGAAATCTAACACTCTAATTTGGGAGAAGGAGTGAGAAATGAGGGGGAATGGAGAAGATGGATGAGAAGAGATACTGGGTAATAGATCGACAGTGGGAAAAAGAGAGGAGAGAGTTAGAGAATAGGGTTTAAGTAGTTTTTTTTCGTTAAAATAAAGGATTTGAGCTCCTTTTTTTTTCTTTTTTTTTTTTCCTTTTCTAATTTGGTGTGAGTGAGGGCATTTTCGACTTTTAAATGAAGAGGAGTTGCACACGATAGTTATGTGCAAGAATCCGTTAGAAAATTTGACAAAAATAGACAAATATATTTAAGTTGCCAACATTTTAAGAATTTAATGACCTGTTTATTAAAAATAAAATAATGAGGATTAAATTGTCACTTAATAAAAAGATTAAAGACTAATAATATCAATTATTTTAAAAATAAAATTGAAATACATGTAAAAAAAAATTACTCTTATAAGAATTAATCGGAAAAGAATATATTTTTAAGGAAACACAGCAAAATTAAAATATAAAAAATTCATGAAAAGTAAAGATGAAAAAGTCAAAAAAAAAAAAAGGTTGGAGTGGCTGGCACATAATAAAGTTAAAAAGTTGATGATTAGAATTTAAACCGTACCGTCCAAAGCTTCGAAAAGAAAAGTACAAACAGACGCGCCACGCGGAGGGACCGATTAACTAAAATAAAACTTAACCCTTAAGCAACAAATTTTTTTTTTTTTTGGATAAGTAACGAAAAAGGCAAGAGATCTTCATACGACTCTACAACAAACAAACAGCTATAAATACCTGGTGCAAGGATTTCTCAGAATAATGCTCTCTCCAACTCCAAGAAAAATACCTCTCTCTTCCTTCGTTTCGATCGTCCATTTGATTTTGATTTCGATTTCGATTTCGATTTCGATTTCTCAGATCGCCATGGCAGATTCCTCCGAATCCACTCCAAGCTCCGGCGTTACTCCGGCCTCATCCGAAACAGCCGTTTACATCGTCCACACCGACCAGGACAATAGCAACGAAGACCCTGAGGCTTATCACGTTCGAACCCTAGCATCCGTCCTGGGAAGGTTCGATTCGGTTTTCTCTGTCTGTTTGTTTCCCGGGAAAACATTGAGGATTTCGATGGATGGAGTGGATCTAGGGATTTAATTTTGTTGATGTGGTTTTCCATTTGAAATGTTTTAATGGAGTTTTTGATTTTTGGTAAATAACAGTGAGGAGGCGGCGAAGGGGGCTTTGATTTACAGTTACAAGACGGCTATGCATGGATTCTCCGCTAAGCTCACTCCGGGGCAGGGCGCCGAGATTTCAAGTGAGTTTTTTTTTTTTTTTTTTTTTTTCATTTGACATTTTTTTATGTTCATTTTGTTTTTCCTACATTTATTCTGTTTGTCTGAATCTTTATTAATCTATTACGTTTGCGTTTGGAAGATGTTATGGTGTATACTTCTGCTTAATTTGATGTGTTTGTTTGGCTTTTTCTTACCTCTTCCTTTTTTTTTTTTTTACTTAATATTTTATATTTTAGTTTGGAAGTGTTATAGTAGATGGGTTTGCTTGATTTGATTCGATTTTTCTATTACTAACCAACTTTTGTTTGTCTGCGTGAATGGAGAAAAAGAATGGGAGTAAAGTTTATTTGGTGACGGTGTACTGTGTACACTTATAATAGCTCATAAGTTTGCTCTTTTTTTTTTTGGGGGGGGTGCTTGAACCTTAACTGCTTTTTATGTCATTATTGAGTTCTAGACTTGGATAATTGGAATCTATGTATGAGCTTTACTAACTCTTTTGCTATCAAGTAGAATTATATTTAACCAGTATGCCAAAAAAATGGCATCCTATTTGATAAATCTTTTAACCTTGCTGCTTTCGATGTATTTTTAAAGAAAATGGCTAGCTTTTAAACCTTGATAGTTAAAACTTTTTCATAGAGGGTAGATATTTAATCTGGTGATAGATGTTTATTGGTACTATGTTACTAAGCCTTTATGCATGTTGACGTGGTGCCACGCTGCCGTCAAGGAATAAAATGTGGTTGCAGGCATTGCCTGGTAATAATCTACATCTGACTCCACTTTGAGTAGCGGAGTTCAAATCCCCCGTTCCGTGTTTTCTAGAAAAAAGAAATCATTAATAATAAACAGAGGAAGGAAATAGGAAACATTGAGATCCTTGTGTTTATGTTATGTGGTGTCCATGGTCAGTCGTGATCCACAGGCTAGTTTTGTTTTGTTTTGTTTTTTAATTAATCCACCATGTTAAAAGAAAAAGAAAGAAGGAAAAAAAAAAAGAGTTGAGTAGAATTTGTCATTTTTTCTCATGATTGAGGTATTGATTTTAGTTTTGTTAACTTTTGACACTCTTTTCACATGATTGCACTATTGACATTGATTTTTGTTAACTTTTCATTGGCAGAACAACCGGGTGTTCTTCAGGTTGTTAAGAGCCAGACAGTCCAACTGCATTCTGCAACAGCGTCGTTTGGTTGAATAAACAGCAGATGTTAAGAGGCCATTGGTTAAAAGGTTCTCTCTTTATGTGTACTAGCCAGATTAACTTGACATGCCCTTTGATAGGGTGTGGTGGTGTGCTTCTACATAAATGAATAAATAAGGCTTTTACAAGTGATTGCGTGTAAAGATAGTCTTGATAAATACTATTTAAAAGTGTATGAATCATGATTTTTATTTTTTATTTTTTATTTATAATTTTTTTAGTCAAATAATTACACTAATAAATGAATATTTATTAAGAGTAAAAAATAAAGATTCAAATTCACACACTCTGAAGGATAAATTCTCAATTTTTTCTTCGAGGGCTACCCATAATATCACACCCCTCTAATATGTTGAGTTTCGGTGTGACTTCACCTAATCCATATGATACAATTCGTGAATGTGAGTCTATACATCACGCCGGATTGAGGTTATCTTATATATGACCGTCAAACATTAGAATATAATT